AGTTGATAATTGAAACAAATTTGAGAGATAAAATTTTATTATCTTATAAGTTTTCCCTAATTTTTCTTATAATATATTCTAATTTACCTAATATTTTCTTATAATTTTTCTTATAATATATTCTAATTTTCCTTTATACGAGTATATTGTAACTTCTAATTCTAATTGACATAGTAAGATAAATGATTGTAATTTTAAAAGAAAATGAGCCTCATGATTGGTGAATTATGGATAATGTTTCGGTTCAAACCATGTAAATAAAAATATAATTAAATTTTTTATTAAAAAAGATTGTGTTATATATTTTTTCACTTCCTCCTGTTTTAGGAAAAAGTTACCTTCTAAAAAGTTGATTAGTAAAATACTTTGCATAAAAAAATTTATCATAAATTACTTTTTTTAATTTAACCCCTACACAAATTTCTAAGAGCATAATAAATTTAATAAATGTAAACTGGGAAATTTTTTCTCATTTAAATATTATTAATAATTAATAATTCTTCGGTAAATATAGTTGAAACTTGAAAGTATTATCCTCCCATATTTTTAATAGGGTAAATAAACAAATTATCCTCTCATACTCTTAATAAGATAAATAAGTAAATTATTCTTTAAACTTTAGTAACACTATAGACGCTAAACTTATTTATTATATAAATTACTTTTTTTTAATTTTAAAAATGATACAATCCATTTATTGATAAAATTTAATTTCAACTATTAGTTGACTGAGAAAGAACTTCAAAAGTTACAGGAAAGGTCCAAAAACTTTTTTAGTTATTTTCTATAATTTGTTGAGTCACTGTCTGTAATTTTTGGATTTTATTGTAATTCTTGACTTTTTTTTATAATTTTTGAGATCTTTTTTTTTCATTTATTGGTCAACTAACAGTGAAAGTTAATTTTTATTAATGATAAATATCAGATTGTACTGTTTTCAAAATTTGAGGAAATAATTTGCATGATAAATGAATTTAAAATTTATGATACTGCTACTTGACCTTAAATTTAGTGAGTAATTTGCTAGTTTTCCCTTATTAATATAAGACAAATTTTGAAGGAAAAAAATTCGTCCTTAATATAATTTAAAGTTATAAAAAATTAATATTTTTTCCAGTTTACCTTTATTTATTTTTTGGTTAAATGTATACATTTAATTCTTTAATTCTTTACAATATTTTATTTTAATTCTTTAACTTTATAAAGTGTCTTTTTAATCATTTAACTCTAATACTGTTAGTTTTATTTCAATAAATTTTTATATTAAACTTTTAAATATTGACAAAATATTTTTAAATGTTGATATATTAAGTTTAATTTTTTAAAATAATAATGATTGATACAAAAAGTAATCATTTAAAACTAATAATATTATGGTTAAAAGATTAAAAATATACTTTACAAAATTACATGAAAAATTAAAATCTTATATAAAGTTAGAAGACTAAAAATATATTTTAATATTTTTTAATATTTTAATTTCTAAATAAAATTTTCTTAATATTATTAATTGTAAAAAAGTTGGAAATTTACAATTAAAAAATTAATTGAAATATAACTATCATATTTTGGTAAGCACAAAATTAGTTAAATTTATGTGACTAAACTCACTTTATGTGGATAAAGTGTGTGGATATATATATATATATATATATATATATTGTATAAAACTAGCTTTTACTTCTTCATGCATTATGCTGCGAGCAAAAACATATCAAATTTTATCAAAGCAAATTTCTATTATTATGGACTTGTTTAAATATATTTATGTTTTATTTCTTGATTTCAATTATGCATTTATAACAAAGAAAAGATGCATGTAAAACATTGGTTAGGAAATATGACTCATAGCATTCACGGGCTTGAAATACATAAAATGACTAATCTTTCACATTTCTCTGCACACAACGCTGGTTGTTGTACATAAATCATTATTTTTATTGTTGTGCAATAAAGTCTTCAATCTATCCAAGCTCTTTACTTTTAACAATGCCAAATGCAATTGTTAATGTGTGAATACAAGTATGGTTAGAAATAACCAGACATGACACACTGATTAACTTTGTGATTTATTGATAGTTTGCAAATGATAGAGTAATTGGGAATTATTTTTATTGCATACAAAATGGTCATATATTTTTTGATGGGTTTGTGTCCATTTTATAAATTAAAACCTTTTGACTATGACTTGATCCATTCTTCTTTTTTGGCTGAAGCCTCGATCCATTTAATGTTATGCTCTCACTAACTTTATTTTTTCAATCGACTAATGCATAATTATGTATCATTGCATAATCCAAATGCTTGCATATATTCTTCAAAAGTATTACAAGTGCTCTAACTTTTAATGAAAGTTGATGTGATGGTAATCTGAAGCAATTAATTGTGCTTAAAAGCTTAATTGTGTACAAATCATTAAGGTTGCATTGGGATGAGTGAATTTAAGTTAAAAATTTAGATTTAAAATTTTATATTTAAAATTCATAAATTCTAAATTCTTTATTTGGATGACATCAAAAATTTTAAATTATAATATTAAAATTCTTTATTTGGGTCTAAAATAAAATTTTAAATTCTATATTTAAATTTAAAAGGAACTTAGATGATTGGTCAAAGTTAATGATCCGAATAGCCAACTTTCACTAAGATCAGACAATCAAAGCTGATTGGAACTGTAGCATTGGGATGGAATGATAGACTACCATTGGGACCAAATCGAATGATAATGGGGACCAAACGGCAACCTTCCATTAGGATCGGATAAATAGCGACAACCGAGACCAAACAACTGAGTTTCACCTAGACTTGACATGCAGCGATAATGGGGATCAAACGATTGACTTCCACCGAGAACAGACAGACGAAGACGATTGAGACAGGACAGCGTTAGTTCGATCCCGATAGAAGTGAGCCATTCGATCGTCGTCGATTTAACCTTGATAGAAGTTGACTGTTCAGTCCTGTCATCATTGTCGCTTCAGTTTCGATCGTCACAATCAGTTTGATCTTTATGGAAGTCAGTCGTTTGATCCCCGTCATCGCGGTCACCTCCCATTCAATCCCAGTAGAAGTCGACTATCCTATTTTGATCATCGTCGTCAGTCCGGTCCTTGTGGAAGTCAACCTTTCGATCTCGGTCAATGGTGGTGGCTTGTTTCCGTCAACTTTAGCCATTCATTCCCACTTAATGGTGGCGGCTTGTTTCCGTCAACTCTGATAGTTCGATTTAATTATTGTTGGTGGGTAGATCAAATCTTCATAAATTTAGATCAAATTATAAAAGAAATTGAGTTAAGATTTGAAATAATAAAATAATTCAAATTATAAAATAATTGATGTAAAACTTGGATTTGGATACCTAAATTCAAATTCATATATTTTTAATTACTCAAATAATAAATTTAGCTTAAATTCAAATATAAATCTATATGTATTCAAATATAATATAAAATTGCTGTCTTGTGTGAACTTATGCACTCAGTCACAATTCAAATCCTTCAAGTAACTATGATCATCAAAGTACTACACACACATATATTATAAAATAATTTTTTTGGACAGCTGGCAAGGGGGAAAAAAAGGCTCACCTTTGGACAGGTTGCCAGGCCAGTCTTTCTTTCCCGTAAAGTGGGACGCCAACCACGTCTTCGCTTTACGATTTCTAAATTGAAGGCTGAATACTTTTTCATTATTTTGACGCTTTCCTTACTAACCAAGGTGAGATAACATGCTATATTATTAATTTCTTGTAGTTTCCAGAATCCTTCACGCTTGACTCGTACAATATTTATCTTTAAAATATGTGTCTATTTTTAAGGGTTTTTTTTTTCTATTACAAAATATACATAGGCTGCTTCCTATGGCTAACTAATTCAAAGGAAGAAATTTGTATATTTATTTTTATACATTTAAATGCTTGTTTTTAATTAGGTTATTACATTAAATCATTTATATATTATTTATGGTATAAAATATTTATTATTAATATTATTAATATATTATAAATCTACTTGTTTCGATTCAGTTGAATAAAAATATATTTAGCATATAAAACGTATCTAAATCTTTCAATTTCTATAAACTTGCATAGCATTTCCCTAAGATGCACACATATTTATTTATTTATAATAGTAATTTTGATCAATATTTATAATAATAATTGAATCAAAAGAATTTCAGTTGAAAATTTTAATCATAAACTTTTGAACTATAAATTATAAATTACAAATTATAAAAACTAAAACTGGGGTTATCAAAACATAAAATTTCTCAAGAATTGAGATACTGAATTAAAAATTATAAATTAAATTATTTTTTAAAAATACCTGGTTAATTAATCAACGTAATTTAGGGAGATTAATTAAATGGAAAAAATTAAATATATAATAGTTGGTCATTTTTATATTATTTTTACCAGCTTTTTTTTTTTTTTTTTGTGCAACGGCTAGCAGGAGAATCTAGACCCTTTGGCTTTGAACGACGACGTGGTCCCCGCAGTGTCGTGCGGTTGTTCGGTGCCGTTTTTTCGCCGCAGAAAAGTCTGCAAAAATTTTCAACTTTATTGTTCTTTTCTTTTCCTTCTTTTCTCCTTCCCTTTTATTAAATAAACACGTCAATATTCGACCGTTGCGACTTTTCACACGTACTCCCCCTCATCCAACGGTTCTCATCCATCAAACGGCCTTTTTTAAAACCACGTGTACGCACGAGATTCATTCACAGCTGTAGCTATAGCAAAAAGCAAAAGCACAGCTTGGACTCGCTCATTCACCACTGTCACTTTCTGTCCGCGTTTTCCTTTCTTTCACACTTTGAACAGTCAATATAGACCGTTAGATTGTACCTCGATCATCATCAATGATTGTACTTCATCAACGGCAAATATTGCGTCTTCTCGCGTTTTTTCTTCTATAAATACCCCTGAAGCCTCTCTTTTCACTCACAACTCAATTTTAGATTCCTCAACGGAGCTCCATTACTAAGCCTAGAAATTTGATCTCTTACGCGCACACTCTCTCTAAAATCCCTGTTTTCTCTTTCTCTATCTCTACAATGGCGAGCTCCAGTATTGTGTTGATGCTAGTGGCTGCTTTGCTGGTGAGCTCTACAATGGCGCAACAATCTCCCGCTTCTTCTCCGGCAACGTCGCCGACGGCGGCTCCAAGAAGGGCGATGGCTCCGGCTCCCGTGGCAGTGACGCCATCTGCGAATTCGCCAACGGCTTCTGCTCCTGTTGAGAGCGGATCTGCTACTGCTCCATCTCCGGCCACCGTTAACTCTCCTCCTTCTCCTCCAGTGTCTCCATCTGCGTCACCTGCTGCTAATCCCCCGTCGATTGCAGCCACACCGTCGGGATCGCAGGCACCGGCTCCAGCTACAAGCGGTGCCGTTTTGAACAGACTTAGCGTCGCCGGATCTGCCGCTTTTGTGATTGTCGCAGCCGCTTTTCTGGCGTAGACAGATTTTGGAGTCGTCGACGATATCATGATATATTCTTTCCATTATTTTATTGTGTATTCTATTTTATTATTAGCGTGAATAATTTATTTTCTGTTGGATTTTTTGTTGATTTTTTATTTAGTTACAATTATCTTTTGGATTCTTTATATATAATATAATTTTTTTTACAGCATTTGACGCTTTCGTTTGATTTATTGTAACGTATTAGTGAGGGATTGGTGATCTTGTTCAAGCGCAATACGTACTAAATCATATTAAGCAATTAATCATGATTCTAATTGCAACAAAAAAAGAGATCAATGATATTTGCAATTAAATTTTATAAGGCGAAATAAAATAAAATCGTAATATTACAATTATAACACAATTCTCAAATTTAAATTATTTCACTTTCAGTTTATGTGTCTTTATTTCCCTCCACCAAATTTACTCTTTAAAAATTATAAAATATTTTTAATTAAATCTCACTCCTCAATGAAGTAGTTAGTTATTTTTTAAACCTTACAATAAATATAAAGTTATTTCAATAGAAACACTTAAAAAAAGATAATGATTATACATTAAAAGATTAAAAATATTTTACATCTTTAAACATCCAACTCTTCAAAAAATATTTTATATTTTTTTAACATAGAAAATATTTATTTTATTTTAGAACAGGATTCTTGTTTATTATAAATTTTGTATTTAACCTTAATAGCCATTGAAGTTTGATTTAAATTAGTTTTGCAAAGAGTATAAACCAAATGTGATTATCTAAAATAAAATAAATATCAATTATCAACAAAGATCATATATAAATATTCTGATCCTCCTCATGAGAGATAAATGTTTTTAGCTACTTACACTTGGATCTAATTCTAATATATATATATATATATATATATATATTAAATTAGATTAATATATATATATATATAATATATATGAATATTAAATTAGATTAATATGCAATTTGAATATTGAATTATAAGTTTAGAAGTGTGATTTGAACTCTAAATTTTTAAAAAATATATTTTAAATTTTAAATAATTAAAGTTGAAATAATTTTACCTCTATCATTAAACTTAGATAAATGTTCACCAAATTGAGGCTTAATGTGTTATTTTTGTCAAATTTTACTCTACTTCTCTCCCCTATCTTCATTTGATACAAATTACACATTAGATCTCAATTCAATAAACAGTTGTTGAAACTTTATCAAAGTTCAGAATGCACTTTTTAAACGTTTATGACCTATAGTTCAGGGTTCATTACATATTAACTCTATTAAATTAATAAAATAAATTAAAATTGAACTCAAGTGTTAAATTGAAAACTACAAAAAAAAAATCATATGTTTTTCTATTTTATTTTAATGTTCCAATCACTTTAACTAGTAAAATAATTTTACAATAAACGTTTTAAATTTTCAATCTAGAAGCAAAATTATTAGAAGAATGATAGTTAGATTTCAAAAGATTGAATTAATGATAATTAAATTCTTAGCAAGAGTATTTTAAAAAATGAGTTGAAAATATTAATTTAAACAATTACAAAAAAAAACTCTAATTATAATGTGAGAATTATATTTAAAATTAAATGTATTATCTACAATTGAAACTCTTGAATTTATAATGATTTAAATTGATATTTTCAACTCTCTTTTTTTCACAAAATTTTATTAAGAACTTAAGTACTTAACTAGGATTAATTTTATTTTTTTTTTTCTCGACCTAATTATCATTCACTCATAATTCTTTCGATTTTTTTGGAATGGGAGGAACAAAAGCAAATTGCGATTGAAAGAAAGTGAGAGTCATGGACCCGTGGTAGCGTAATGTAGCTTTAGCTTTGTAATGAGAAGGACGGGACAAAATTTACTTTAGACTGCTTAGTGTTGGCACTTTAAATAAATGCTTTTTTCCTTTCTTTTTTCTTTTGGGAAAATTAAATGAATATTTTGAACGTAAGGAGGGTGTGAATTTGGTTTCACTTTTGTGTCTTGCCTTTGCTTGTACCAGGAAACACGTAATATTAATAGTATTGGGAATGGTAATTCATGCTTTTTGGTCACACCCAAACATGACTTTGCCCACCTTCACATGACTAAAGTGAAAGAACCATGACCAAGTACAATAGACTCATTAAATAGTAAAAATATTCAAAATTTTCACATAATTGGGTCATGTGAATTTGTTTTACAGTTAATAAAAGCAATAAGTGTTTTTGACCTCCCATAGTCCTATCCCAACATCATTTTTATTTCAATCCTATTATGTCTTCTCCCAAATTTGTTAAGACAAGATTGACTCATCTTAATATAATCAGGATGGAAATAAATTAATCGAGGTCAGTACTTCATGATCACTCATAACCCTTGACAACTTTCTAATTTTTTTCTTAATTTTTTAAAATCAACTATAAATTATTTCTCTCTGTTTTTTTTTTGGGTTCATAACTATAATTTCTCTTGGTTCCATGAGAGAGATTACAAATAACAAAAATTGTTATAAATTTTATATTATATAAGATACATTTTGTATATTTACATGGAATCTAAAATAAGTTGCATTTTCTATAATTTGTGAACAATGTGACTCTTAATATTTTTTTAATATTGATATTGATTGATAGCATATCACACTATTCATAAATTAAGAACAGTTCATCTCATTTTTTTAAAGTTTGTACCATGGAAACGAAAATAGCATCTAATTATTTTTATATTTTGTCTACATTCTAGATTATCTTTATTTGACAATAAAACTTGAACTTAAACTTCCCTTAAAATTCTTATCGTTTTAAAAATCAAATCAATTTATGAAATAATATAGACATTAGTTAATTATTTATTAGTTTGATTATAAATGAATGGCCTTGGAGTGTTTAATGTGTTCAATAGATTGATTAGCTTAGTATGTAAATCCTAACCTTTTCCACTAGCACCATTGGTGCTTGCAACCGTAATGGAGTGTGGGGGGATTTTTTTTTAATAATGAAGGGTATTTATATAAATATATTTAAAATTTTAATTCTACTAAAATCCCTTGGGACTTGAACAAAACTTTTCTAATTTAAAGATTTATTTGAAATAAAATCTCTTACTAGGGACTACTGTGAAATCCATACATGGCTGTGCTTAAAGTGAGAGATCCAATATCTTTTTTATTCAACTAAATAACAAAGTCTCTTGCACCATGGAAACAATTAGATACAATCATAAAAAGTATCATTCTTACACCTTTCTTACTATACATATTATTATTAATTTTTATTGCTTACCCACTTAGTATTCTTGGTCAACTCTAAGCAAAAGACTTCACAAAAACCTGGACCAATCCAAATCAAGCAATTCATTATTAGTTGATCCACGGAATTTTAATGCCACTACATTTTCAAAATATGAGGTTGAGATTATTGGTTAAGTTGAAACAATTCATTGCTAGTTAATCCAAGCATTTAGTTGTTACACACACCCATTCATAAAAAGGAATTGAGCCCATAAGTTTGTTTTTATTTACCTGAAAGGATTTGGTGTCACTGTGGCATCAAACTATTGGCATGGTTTTATTGATGCCACAAAATTTTGGGTGTCACAAAATCATTGAATTTTTAAATGCTAGGAGTATGGTTTTGTGACACCAAATCATAGAAAATATATACTTGGTATGGTTTTGTTGATGTGGTTTTAGCCCACTTTGGATAGTGTTTACAATTACCTATGTTAGTATATACTTTCTATGTAATGCAAGATAAATAAGTAAATTATTTCTTGAATTTTAAGTTTAATAACATTATAGATTTTAAACTTATTTATTGTATAAATTATTCTCCTAATTTTTGAAAATAGTACAATTCGACTCCTACCATTAATAAAAGTTAATTTTAATAGTTAATTAATCAAAGAATGAAAGAAAAGGACCAAAAAAATTATAAAAATGACTAAAAAAATCTTATTTGTAACTTTTGGGTTTTTTATTGTATTTTTTATATAATTTTGGAGGTCATTTTTTATTATTTTATAGTTAACTAAGAGTCAGAGTTAATTTTTTTTAAATGACAAAAGCTAAATTACACCACTTTCAAATATTGAAGAAATAATTTACAAATAAACAAGTTTATAGTCCATTGTGCTATTAGATATAAAATTTAGAAGATAATATACTCATTTATCCTATAATATATACTTGAACTTCTTATCCAAAAAGAAAAGGTATGTGGCTTATGCCTAAAATTTATAACCTATATGCATGTAACAAAGAATATGAAATCCCATGCAATGCACATGGGACTAACTTAGCAAGATAATGAAATACCATATATATTAAGTGTTAAAAAAAATCATACATGCATTGGCATTGCATTTATATATTGTTTTATTCTGAAACATTCACCCCCATGCCTCACTCTGTCTGATAGAGTATCCGGAACATTATGTTTTTTATTTTGGTGGAATTGAAACATTCTCTTTTATTTCAACATTTTTTCTAATTATATTTTTTTCCTTTTCAATTAAAGATTTAATTTTTCATCTTTCAAATTTGTTTCAGCCAATGGTTTTATCCCTCAAATTTATTTTTTATTAATATAATCTCTTAAATTTACATCGGTTATCGATTGGGTTTTTATTATTTAAAAAGAAAGTAACATTATTAAAAATTGTTAATATGAATAACAAACTATTGATGACAACAATGTAGATTAATAAAAAAATATAATTATTTAGTTACAAAAACTACAAAATCTAAATTTAAAAAAAAAAAGGATAAAACACAATGTACGAGATTATATTGATAAAAATTAAGATGGTTTGACAGTTAATTTATTTTTATCTAATTATATATACATATCAAATCATTAATATACTTTACATATTAAATTATTTTAATAATTAATTTATGTTTTAAAACTTTCAAGACTCATGTGATAATTTTTTAAAAAAAAACATAACGTGTCAAATTGATAGCTGACACAAACTTAAAAAAGTAGACATTTTACTATTCCCTTAATTAATATGTATGTAAAAATTATGGTATTGAAATTAGATCGGATCGGCCAGGTCAACCCGGACCCTTGTCCGATTTGAGTTTACTCCTAAACCGGTGAGGGAATGAACTGGTGTAACTCCGTATAACCCAGTAGGTTGACTAGGTTAATCGGGTTATTATTTTTTCAGACAAAACTCCTAAAAGGATGTCATTTTAGGGGATTTTTTTATTTTTGATTTTCCAGAGTGCTAAATTCAAAAATAAGATAACAAAAAAAAGTGAAACAGAAGTCAAAAAATGAAAAATTAGAGGCAAAGCACACTAAGTCCAATCCAGATTTTTAGACAGCATTCAATTCAACTTTTTGTCTGTGTCTCTCCTCTCTTGCCCTAGCTTAATCGGCGTCTCTTCTCCAGCTCAATCTCCGCCTCTTCTCTAGGCTCTAGTTCTATTCGTGTCTTTTCTCTAACTTAGTCTTTGACTGTCTGTCTCTTCTCCAACTCTATCTTCGTCTCTGTTATCTCCATCTCTTCTCCAGCTTAGTTTCTGACTCTCCATCTCTTCTTTAGCTCAATCTCCGTCTCTGTTATCTCCGTCTCTTCTCCAACTCTGTCTCCATCTCTTTTCTAAACTTTTGAGATTGAAGGGTTGTAATTGTAAGGATGGATATTTAAAGTGTTGTATTTTATTATTGTTAGCCTTTTGAGTGGTTGGATTTGGTTGAATATTTTTATAATTAATGTTTTTTTATTTAAATTGTATTATTTTAATCATGATCGATTTACCACCAGTTCAACCCTTGGTTTAACCCCGATTAAACCACCAACCCGTGACCTAGTGCCATGACCGGTCCGATTTTATATACCTTGGTAAAAATGTACGCGCACCTAGCTATGGTGCCTCTTTTTGCCACGAATCCTTACAAAATTAAGAAAAATGCAAAGGATGTATTTGAAGAGAATACATTAGGAAAAATTTAAAATTTTAATTCAATTTAGGGGATAAAAGTAAAAATAAAGTCAACTTCAAAAAAATTAAAATACAGTTCATTTATTATGCAAAATCACTAGTTGTTAATTTTTTTATTTCACTTGTAAATTACATTTATTTGTTAAATAAGCAATAATATTAGTTATTAATTTACTAACTTTACTTATCAATTTACTAACATCAATTATAAATTATAAGACCTATCAATAATTTACAACTGATATTAGTAAATTACAAGACTGTCATTAATTTAAAATTAATTTTAGTAAATTAACAAGTAAAGTTAACAATTTAATAACTGGTGTTGCTACTTATAATTAAACAACTGATGTCAAATCTTATATAATTACTAATATATCAACTCATGCAATTTACAACTCATATTATTAAATTAATAAGTAAATTAAGAAAATTAATAACTAATGATTCTGTATAAAAGTTGAAGGATATTTTGATTCTTTTACAATTGAAAGTATTTTTACTTTTATTTTTTTGAATTGAACTAAAATTTTAAATTTTTTTAAGATCCACTAATAATTATATCACATCCTTGATTTTTATTTGAAATTCTCCCAATGCACTAATCCAAAGGAAAAGAAAAGGTAATACAATAACTCCCACATCTTATTATGAGATGAGAATATCATGCCAATGCAATATCTACATTTTGTCACACTTTTTTTATGGGTTAATGGGAAATTTAGCTCTTAAATTATAAGTTGAAGAATATCAGGAACCCTACATTTCTTTTTTGTACAATGCTATTTCTCAACTTTTAAAAATAGTACAATATATTTTCTATCATTAATAAAAGTTAATTTTATTTGTTAATTGATCAAAAAATGACAAAAAGCATTAAGAAAAGTATCAAAAACTTACAAATAAGGACCCAAAAAAGTACCAAAAAAGATCAAGAAAAATTCATCATTCCTTTTTATAATTTTAAGGTTATTTTTTAATCAATTTATAGTCAATATTAACTTTAATTAACAGTAAGAGTTACATTTTATTGTTTTTAAAAATTAAAAGAGAACATTACACAAAAAGAAGTTTAGAATCTCAAAGATTCCTAGACTTATAGTTTAGAGGCCAAATTATTATTTAACCTTGTTTTTAATACATTCATCGCACCATGTTCTCTTTAAATGCATAGAACTAAAGATAGATGAGCAAATTATTTTATGAACTTTAAATTCAATAGCATAAAAAATATTAAACTTGTTTATTGTATAAATTATTTTTAAAATTTTTGAAAACAGTATAATTTAGTCCTTGTTGTTAATAAAAGTTAATTTTTTCAATTAGTTAGTTAATTAGAAAATGACTTCAAAAATTATAGAAAATAATCAAAAAATTTAAGAAAAGAATCCAAAAATTATAGACAATGATAAAGAAACTATAAAAAAGTACCAAATTTGGTCTTTTTATGTAATTTTTAAAATTATTTTATGTAATTTTTTAGATCCTTTCTTTTATCAATTAATGGTTAAAATTAATTTTATTTAACAATAGGGTCAAATTATATCATTTTTAATAAAAAAATAATTTGTAGAATAAATAGGTTTAAATTTTATAATGTTACTAAGCTTAAAGTTTAAAAATAATTTACTCATTTATGCTATAATTAACTATGCTCTTTATCGGATCCGTTTGAAGCTTTGAATATTTGACCTTCTTAAGTTCTTCCTCGATATTTCTTGGGCTACGGTACGAGACCAAAAATGCAAAGGAGTTGCCGCCCCGTGATTAACGTTATTGTTCCTCTAAAGTAAGACGCGTTTCCTTCTAATTCTTCCAAACGCAAAAGAGTGAGAAGATAATATTCGTGCCCCCTTACTTACTCATCAAGGTGTGAGAGGATAATTTCATTGTTATGATCTTGAATGACCTACCATTTGAGTGTAGAGATTTTTTATCAAAAACCTTGATTTAGTTTTTATTTATACTCCTCCCTCTCATTTTATAAAATATTTTTAAAAATGATTTAATATCTTAAAATATAAAATATTTTTTAAAAAAATACATTTCATTAATAATGATTATTCCGATACATTATGTCTCATTATTTCATTCATTAAATAATTTTTTCCTTTGTCTCTTATTAATAAAAGATACTTTAAAAAGTTTATAAAAAATTAAAATTGTAAACTATACTCCCTCCGTTCAAAAATTTAAAACATTTTTAATCATTTAAGGTGTAATTATTACTTTTTTTTAAAAGTGATCCTATTAATAATAACTTTTTATTTATTGTAGGGTATTTAATAGTGATAAATATGAAAAGATAAGGTTAGTAGGAAAATAAGTAACTATTTTATTAGGGTGAGATTCAATTAAAAATACTTTATATTTTTAAACAAATGAGTACTATTTAATAAATTTCATTAGTAAATAATTATGTCAAAAAATATTTTTAAATTAAAATAAAGGAGAATTTTTTAAAAAAAAAATGGAGAGACAATCCCACCTTCTTGGATCCCCCATTTCTTTCACTCTTCCCAATTTCTTGACCGTTGCCTCCCTCTCATATTTCATCCAACGGCTCTCCCTCACCCTACTTCACGTGGACGCTCACGATCCACCCAACTAGCGTCTCACTATCATCATTTCCCCACGCGCTTACTTTGAAATATGGACCGCGTGACCTTTCCCCCACGACGTGCCGATCATAAAATCACGCGATCCAACGGTCATTCTCATCCCCGCACACGCATCTTCGTTTCTACTTCCCGACTATAAATACTCCCCCTCTGTTCTGTCTTTCTTCATTCTCACTATCTCTGTGTCAGTTAGTGCTTCTTCTTTCTTCTTCTCCTCTCTGTTATTCTTTGTTTTGTCGTCTTCTTTCTCTACCTCTGAGAAATGGCTCACGCGATCACTGTGATTCTGATGGTGCTCATGGCGCTGTTCGTCTTCTCTGCCGTCGCGCAATCCCCGGCTCAGTCTCCCAAGGCAGCGACGACTCCCTCACCGAAGAATTCTCCGTCGCCGGCCTCTACTCCTTCTTCCACCGCGACTTCACCGGCTGTTTCTCCCTCTCCGACGAGTGCGAGCTCTCCTCCTTCGCCTCCAGCATCTTCTCCGTCTCCTTCTCCATCGCCTGCCGCCGATACTCCTCCTTCGATCGCGGAGCCTCCTTCTGAGGCTCCGGCGCCTTCCGAGAACGGTGCTGCTTCGGATCGCTTTGCCGTCGCCGGATCTGTTGCCTTTGGCATCGCCGCAGCTGCTTTGTTCATGTAAAGCGCCGCATTGTGGAACTCCAACGTCACCCACTACTTCGGGATTGATCAGTGTTTAGATTATTCACTGTTTTTCTTCTTTTAATTTTTATTTGTAGTGTTTATTTCCCATACTTGTTGATCATTTCGTTTTTATACAGTGTGATAGATGATATTCCATATTCTACTTATAGAATATTTCTTCCAATTTCATCTCATAAATCTAACCCCTTGTCATCAAATATAATTAATTAAATCCACCAAAACTACAATCAATCAATAATTAAGTAACAAAAAGAAATGGTCGTCCCTATAAGATTGAACAATTTCGTAATAATTTTATAATGTCAATTTTATAGTTTTTTTCCGTGGAATTGTTGGAGTAAAAATCCTAGAGAAGGATTATAATCCTTCTAACCTAATCTGCCTTCTCCTTTTCAAAGATATTCAATTTTGCAAAATTTAATTAACAATAATTTAAATTCAGTAGGTAACCACCAAAATATTTTTAATATTTATATACTAAATAACAGGATATGTTGATTTACAAGATATCTTCAAATATTTGCAATTTAATTTTTAATATTTGTATATTAAATATGATATCCATCAGCTTAAGAAAAAAAAAAATCTGATCACCATCTAATTAGATATGTAATATTACCCCCAACATAAAAGTAAAAAAAAAAAATCCATGATATCAAATATGTTCCAATCAAATCATACTTTCTATATTATGTTCTAATGTGCTTTTAATTTTTCTTGCGTGTTTTATGGGTCAGTAAAAGAAAATATCTGTTGGATATTTTTTCTCCTAATAAAAAAATTCAGGAAGATGTTATCACGCCAAAAAAAAAAAAAGTGATCGCTTATTATTATCATTTGCGACACGGAGTGTGAAAAGTTTTACTCCCAATTCTTTCTATTTAAAGTAAGTATGCGCCAAAAAAATAAAGAAAATAAATTGAAATCCGATTTCGTAATCTGATTTTTGAGAGATTGCTTCGAATATTACTCAATGTAGTAGAATCATTGCATCTAGTTATTCCATTAAACAAGTTAATTAAGTTGGATTGAGCTTTCTATTGTGATAGTTCCAAAAAGAAATGAAACTTAAAAAAAAAAGTGAATTTATGGATATAAAAATACTCCTCTCAATATTTTTTTTGGTAACAGAAAAAAGTATTAATTTTTTATTGCATACATGAATCTTCTATTCAAAACAATGTTATTTAAGATCATGTTCTGAGGCTTTTTTTTTTTTTTAACTAGATTCAACCTAGTAAAAATATTGTTAACGTAGATAATTAATAATATGATATATACTCTATATAGTAAGTATTATATGACATTTTTAACTGTAATCTATACCCTAATAAATTAATTAGTGATATTTAAAATTATATTTTTTTATATTTATCCTTATTTAATAAATTACCTCAATTAAAAAATTTTATTTATGATATCCATAATTAAGGGAATTTTTAGAAAAAAATCAAATTAATTACACTTTGAAAAAACTAAAATATTTTATATTTTTAAATATAATTTTAAGGAAAAATTGCCTTATAATTTACATGTTCCACGTCTAACTCGTAAAAAATACATTACTTAAGTTACTTTTTAAGTAATATTTGATTTGTTAGACGTGTAGAATTGTTTGTCATTACTTGTTAAATCTATCATGTTATTTGTTGAACATCTAACCTTTAATAAATCATTACTTGTCAAGTTATTTTTCAAATACTGTAATTGACTTGTAAAACTCATAGTATTATTTGCTATTTTCTTATTGTTACATGTTATATCCAATATGTGTCTTGTTTAATCTAATTCAAGAAATATATTTTGATTTTTTTACTTTATAATTTAATTTCAATTCAAACCAGAAATCCAAAATCCTACAATAATATTTTAAATTATTTGTGATTTGTAAATAAGTTACATTGGTAGTCCTTTGATAAAATTCTCCCTGAAAAAAAGTAATTTTGTAGTTTGGTACTAATACTTTCTATTTTTTTTAAATCAAATAACAGTATTAATAATTTATTGTTATTATCATTGTTATATAATATTTGAGTACTCAACACTACATATCTTGCATTTTATGCTGAGAAATGAGATTACCTTGGACAAAATACCTGTAACCCCTATCTTTTAAATAAATAATTTTTGGATAAATAAATAATTTTTTATATAAAAATTAATATCAAACTCAAACATGATGTAAACTTTGATTGCATAGATTCCACAGATTCAAAAAATACATAAATCACAAAATGATACGAAATGTTCAACATTAAGAAGATAAATAGACCAAGCAACAACTTTTTCCCAAAAGATACTGATCCGTGGCAAATAACATTTCGTTGTTAATTATTGAATTTTGCGTACTTTAAGAACCTTGATTACAACTGGATTATCTCCTAAATCTTATGCACAAATGTACAATATATGCATTTTTTTCTCTCACCCACCAAACAATGATGAATAATAATTAAAAAAATTAATTAATTGAATCACTTTGTGTGGGATTCTTTCTTTGAGATGTTGTCAATAATGGGTTCCACGATGGACTCCAAGTCATCCAGGTCATTCTTCACTTCATCAACCTGCGTTTTTAATTAAATCCCCAAATTAATAATTATATCAGAGATATTTCAAATTATATGTAATAATAACGAGTCAAACTTTAATAAATCTATTCAAACAGTGAAGAACACAATTTCTTAGATTGTCATAGTAAGTGTGATGTTCTGGCAAAAAAAAAAAAGTAAGTGTGATGAGTTCAGAAAAATAGTTTCTAAATCATAAATCATAAAAATGTCTAATTATATTATTTTAAATAAAAATACACAAACTGATATTTTTCTAGAGTTAAATGACAAATTTTCCCTTAAGCTACTAAACTTATTTTTTATGTAACATCTTTTTTTAACTCTTGCAAATGATACAATATTACTCTTATCATTAATAACTGTTAACTTTAATCGTTAGTTGATCAAAAAATTACATAAAAGCACCTAAAAAATTTTCTTGGTCATTATGACATGGACCCAAAAAATTATGAAAAAGGACCAATAAAGTTTTCTTGATCCATTTCTGTAATTTTTTAAAGTTTTTGGCTGTAAATTTTTTTTCAACTAATAGTTAAAATTAATTTTTATTAATAGTAAAGACGACATTATACATTTGTACTGTTTTTAAAGTTAATAGAAAATATTGTAAGAAAAATAAATTTAGAATCCTAGACATTATTGGACTTACAATTTAAGTGTGAAATTCCCCTTTAACCCATTTTTCTAACTATATTGGATACATATAGTTATTAATGACTAAACAAAATCCAAACCCATACTATATTTTACCATATAAATGTGTCATTCTTCCCTTCTTCAACGAACTAAATTTTCATTCTCATGACTGAATTAAAAAACCCAATGTTTTAAACTTTATACTCTGGGTATGGTATCGAATGGTTTAAGAGCATACATTCATGCATACATCATGTATGTTGTATGTATTAAAGTACCTTGTGAAGGAATTCTTGTGTGAGATGAGCATCATGAGCAGCTTGTTTTGAAATTTTGTCAACCATCAAAGCAGCACTTTTGAGCGTACTCTCATCTGAAAGATTCTCAGAAACATCTTCAGCCACCTTCTCTGCCATTGTTGCCACCTTCTCTACCACATTGGCTATCTTCTCTGCCTCTTCCACCACTATCTCCGCCTCTCCTGTTTCATCCCAACATTTTTCCCAACTTAATACTCTATATTTTCTGAATTTATTCAATAACAAAATACTAACATGTCAATATTCACTGTGTGTGTATATATATATGGGAATCTTGATTCTCTGTTGCAACAGCACGATGTTGCAAGGAGAAAGATAGATACATAAAATGAATGAATACTAAATATTAATTAACTCAGATGTCTGCAAAGAGAGATATACACACATGGGATAAGTGGGCCCCACATGTTAGTTAGCTCACACGACGTGATAAAGTGATGGAATAATACATATGCATAAAATAAAATCTATGACAAGTGGTATATTAAATCATGAATACTAAGTCATCTAAAGTGAAAAAAAGAGAGTACTAAGTCATCTATATTTTATTAGCTCGCATATTTATCTCTGCGTCTCCCGTTTAATCCCAACTTAATTTTCAGACTATGTATAATATATAGAGAAAATAAGTCCAATTAAGAAAAAATAACTGTTATTTCCTGACATAGGACACAATCCAAAAGCCAAGCATTGAAGGGGTTAATGTAAGAAATGAATAAGCATGCATACCTTCTATTCTCCTCAGCTTTTGCCAATTATTACTGAAAGCTATCAAGAAGGAAAGTGCAGAACCAAAAACCCATCTCAGCCTGCAAATTCATAAGCTAATTAAATACAACCAAATCACTGTATTCTCATGTATATCCATATCATAACATTCATAACTTCGTAGAGTGCACTAATCTTCTCTTTCAGAAATTCATACCAGCCAGAGAAACTGAAGCTTGCAGAAGAAGCAACTGGTGATTTAACCTTGACACTCTTTCCTCTTCAAAAATTCAGAACAGAAACTCAATATTCAGACACAGGTTTATCTGAAGATGCCAAGCAAAATCAAGACTTTGGTGAATATATTCTTACCCATTTGAATCAGAACCTGTGCTTCCATTGGTGCTGAAAAAGTTTACACCAGGATGCATCCAAAACCCACTTCCAAGCTTTGATCCTGAGATTATCAAACTATTTCTTTGAAACCTTTCATGGTTGGGTTCAAATCTGGTGTTTCTGGTAGGGCCAAGAATCTGAAGAACATGTCTGAAATTCTGAGTCAGCCAGGAACCTGATCTGGATGACATGGTCAGCATCAGTTTGATTTCTTCTAAAAAGTCTTCAAAGGTAGGAGAAAATGATAAATGGGGATGTCTGTGACAAAAGTCAGAACCGAATCAGCTTATAAAGATTCCAACTTTTGTGTTTGTCTGATAAGAAAATGAAGGAAAAAAGAGGGAAAGTGGGGAGGAAAACAGGGTGGGATTTTTTTTTTGGGCCTTTCTGATATGAATTTGGTTACTCCAAGCAAAGAAAACACCTTAAGCGATCTCTGTCATTTGTGTTTCCTTGTAAGTTACAACTTCCTGGGTTTTAAGGAAAGCCAGGCTCTCACACTTTCAAATTTCATTTCCTTGTTGATATGTTCATTTAATTTGTATATTTAGTCCAATAGATTAGTTTAATCTTAAATCATTCAAGAGAAACATGGAATGTATGAGTTTTACTTTGACATAGTTCTTTCTTCAGGGTTTTTGTTTGTGAGGTGTTCATTTTGAACGTTGACTTGGTCATTTGGAATTGGGCCTAAGCTGAAAGTGGGCCTATGATCTACTTTGGGCCTGATATTTTGGGTTTGGCCCAAGGTACTTGAAGGCCATGAAAACTTGGGTTGAGTCCTGACCAGGTCCAAGGTTGAAGAGCTCAAATTAAAGTCAGCTCTATAGTTTTGGATCTATACTATATGAAAAAAATAGTGATGTAGAAAATATTATTAAATAAAATACATATTTCTTACCTGAACAAATAAATATAAATTCCTCTTTCTAAAATTCATATTCTATTTCTTCTATATATTTCTCACAATATTACATGCGATTAATTTGTGACAGTAGAAGATTTCGATTTTAGACTCACAAAACAATACTAGATATAGTTTTTAAGTATTTTGTAATTATATTTTTTGAATCAATAGGGGATAAGTTTAGTGCAAGAGGGTAGTCCTTAACAATTTGACAAATGAAGTTCAAATCTCCATTGAAGGAGGTGCCTATGTCTTGAACAAGATTGTTTTTATGTGAGAAATAAAAAAAATATTTTTTTGATAAAAATAATTATTTATTTTTTAAAAATCAACATTATATTAAAATATTTGTTTTTTGAAAAATAATCTTTGATATGTATGTCTTCAATAAAAAATTTGACAAAAACCTATTTAAATATTTTCTTTTGTTTTGAATAAATTTTCCCCGGAATAGAATAATCTTTTTGAATAAATTAATAGTCAATACTTCAAAAAGAAAAAAAAAAAAATAAATGAAAAACTCAATTATTAGAAAATTCAGAATAAATTAATAATAATAACTTTTGTTTTATCTCTTCTCACTTTCATCTGTTGTAGATAAAACTTCTTAATTAAGAATTCAAAAATTGTTTTTCTGTTTTTTTTTTTAAATAAAGTCTCTAAGGGCATTTGATAAGCCGGAATAATTATAAAAAGCTCAAAGCAATCACTTAGCTATAGCCTATAATGCTATATATAAAAATCATACAGTAATAAAACACCAACAAAGATTCATCACAATCTAACTGCATCTACAGTGTAATTATATTATTATTATTCTTATTATTATTGCTACTACTTTTATAACGCAAAGGATAGGCTTTACCAACAGTAAATGTTATCTTTTTAGAGTTACTCAAGGCAAAAATAGAACTCTTTCAACTAAATTAATTTATATATATATATATATATATATAAGAATTGAAATTTGAATCTCCAATAACTTAATTAATTAATGAGAGTTCATATTAGATACATCAATTTGAGTTAGTTATTCATTATTATTAGATTTGATAAAAGATGAAAAGTCTAATGCATGATATTCTTTGGACATCAAAGTGAAGAACCTTATTGTTTTTTTTTTTTTTTTGGTGTGGGGGGGGGGGGGGTGGGGGAATAAGAGAACCTTATCATTTTCCCCAATAGATCTCAGTATCCCACCAATTCACCAACTACAAATATTTTGTGGTCGTAGTGTGCTTTGTAGTTTGCTGTCAACTGTTTTTGGAGCATCCAAAAAATGGAACTTTTTTGCTTGCATTGTGAAAAAGTCTTATCAGCATCACTATCAAAGTGCCTTGCATTGCGTCTTTTGACTTTTTCTCAACTTTTTGCCTCTCTAAGAAAAAGCCTTTACTTTTCCTTCCACACACAATCAATTTTTAATTTGCGTCAGCTAAACCCCCTTCTCAACCACTTATTAAATTATTGAGTACTCCAAAAGAGAATTAAGGGCAAGTTTGTTTAAAATAAAAAATGATTTTGTACAAAAAAAAAGATTTTAGTTAGGCTAAACATGAGGAAATTGTAAGGCTATGGGGGAAAAATTTTGGTTTTGTGTTAAATATGAAAAAAAAAAGTTAGATTGACCATTGATTTTAGTTAGGATTTGAAAAAAAAAAAGCTTGTTAAGTAATTAATTCTCTCCTAAAAATAACTTGTTAAGCAAGTTATATTATAACTATCCATGATTTTAATTTTACCAAAAAAAAAAAACAACTATCCATGATTTTAAATAAATCCTAACCGTTTTGAGGTGTTTAAAAAAATTATTTCTTGTGCTAAATATGATTTATTTGTTTTCTTTAAATAACGAAACTTTGTTCAAAACAATCAACCTCACATGTCGTCAAGCTGATAGATACAAAAAGACTTGCCTTACTTTTATCATAAGCTAATAAGTAATATCAAATATCAATCGAAATAAAATTTATATTAGTGTATAATAAACTATATAGTAATTTAGTGCTTGAATCAAACTCAGGCTATAAAAATAGGATTGACCCAAAACTTAGTACTTGAATCAAACCCAGGCCTTTAATGTGTTGGTTTCAGCGTTCACTATGTATTATAGCATCATGGATATATTTACTTGAACTTTGTTTTTTTTTTTTTACTTAGATAATTTGATGACATGGCATGCTACTCTAACATGACGGCTAACATTACTCCAAATCAATTATAAGGTTGGAATTTTTATAAGTTTAACTGTTTAGAATTAAAAATATACCAAAAATGAACTTAGGGTTTAAATCTTTCTTTCTTGAGCCTATAATTTAAAATTCAAATTATCATTTAATTTGTTTTGAGAAACGTCTTTCCATTTTTACTTATGTTGGTTCATGTGCACAGTTTAAGTAATTATCCATAAAAAAAATATGAGTGTCAAGTGTGGATAATAAAAACACGCATTATGTAAAAAAAAAAAAAATCTAATTCCTATTTTTTTTTGTAGTTGTGGATTATAATAAAACTAGAAAAAAAGTCGTTTTTGCCTAAGATTTTTTAAAAAATTGAAATTTCTTAATTTTCATGATATACTCTTCCCATTCAGTATCACAAGAAAATTTTTCTAAATTTATTTTAAAAAGTAGAAGACATTATAGATTTTTCAAGATGTAATTAATATAAATTTTTAAAAATATCTTTAATTAGAGATGTAATCAATAAAAGTTTTTAATTAAAACTTAACAGCTTATAAAAATAAAAATAAATATAAAAAAATAAAATTTTAAATATCATTAACTAATTTATTATAATTAAAAATATAAATTATTTAAAAATATTTTATAATATAAGTAGAATAAGTGCACCGGCAATGTCATGTTGGTGTCAAGTTATGGAGATGGACATGGGCCGAGAAGGAGGAGATAAGGACAAGTGGGTCCAAATCCACCGACGTTGGCCGCCATTGAAGATGAAACCTCAAGCCAACTCCTTAAAGTCAAACATTCAACGCGCAAATATCATTACCATCATCTCTCACACACACCCCGTTTTCAAAGTTCTTAATCTTTGAATTGAACAAAACCAAACCAAAGCTTCGTCTTCCTCGATCCTTTCCTTGCCCAATCTCACCCTCCTCCTCCTCTTCTTCCTCCTCCACTGATGCGCTCTTTCTCTCTCTCTCATGGGCCTCCATCACCGCAAGATTCTCGAACAAATCTGTTATCTCTACTGCAACATGAAAGATTCCTCTCCTTGTTACAGCTCTGATTGCAAGGCTTGTGTCGTCAAGTGCTCCTCCTCCGTCTACCCGCCGATTTCCTACTCTCCACCGACACCTGTGTCCTTCGACGACTATGCTGGTCTCGATGATCCACGAAAAATCCACCGCAAGATCTCCACCTGGTTGACCGTCGTTATCGCTATTCTCGCCGCCGCTTTTTTCGCCCTCCTCTGCTTCGCAGTCTACCGCCGGTTCTGCTCCGGCCGTTTCAGGAGAAGGAATTCGGAGACGGAGGAGGATCCGCGGGGAGATTTTCTCGACGAAGAGGAGGGTCCTGTGGTGGATCATCCCATATGGTATATTCGAACCCCTGGTCTTCAACAATCGATCATTTCTGCGATTACTGTGTGTAAATACAAGAAAGGCGAAGGGTTGATTGAAGGAACTGAGTGCTCTGTTTGTCTGAGTGAGTTTGAAGAAGACGAGAATCTCAGGCTTTTGCCCAAGTGTAATCACGCTTTTCATCTCCCTTGTATTGATACCTGGCTCCGATCTCACACCAATTGCCCCATGTGCCGAGCTCCGATCGTCACCAACCCCGCCACGGTGATCGCCTCGCCGGAGCCGAATACTGTTAATCCGACTGATTCAGAACAACCCCAGATGGAAACTGTTGAAAATGGAAGTGAAAATAGTGGGGTTGTTGAGAACAGTGATGGTGAACTGAGAAACAGAGATGAGGAGGAAGAAGGAAGAAGGAGAGAAACGGTGGATGAAGAAGAGGTTGAGAATTTGCAGCCAAGAAGAAGATCTGTGTCTCTGGATTCTTCAGCTGTAGAGAAGATCAATCGTATTCTTGCTAGAGCTAATAATAATACTGCTGTGTGTTCAGTAGGCTCATCTTCATCGAAGAGGGTTTCCAAAAGTGGGTCTTCTTCCTTCAGGATGAAGTCTCTTCAGATTGTTGCAGGCACTTCAATGAAGAGATCTCGTTCCTACAATGGCAAACATGTACATCCTTGGTACAGTCGAAGCCAGAGGAAGCCAAGTGCTCCTATTAGAAGCTTTTGATGATTTTTGGCCTTCCATGTAAGGTGAGTCATCTCAGGCTCAGCAGCACATGTATGGAATGTGAGAGAGAGAGAGAGAGAGAGAGAGAGAGAGAGAGTAAACAAAACAGACAGACAGAAACCAATGTTTGATTCTTCTTGTTCTATATGTGTTCCTCGATCCAGACATGTACTGGGAAACTGGAGTGATTCTGTTGTGTTAACTCTCAACAAAGGTGAGAGAGATCAAGGAAGTTGTAAGTTTTATTCCTTGATGCATCAAAATAAGCCATGTGATGCGGAAAGTGTATGATATAGCAATAGCAGAAACCAAAATTTACTCATATAATGAGGTTTATGATACCTTTGCCAATTTTGTTTCATAAAGCTGTATTTATGATGTATAATTGCATGATTATCTTGGTTTTCTAGAGCCAAAGTTCACACACTATTAAGCCATTCTCCAAACTCCAAGTGATGATGCTACTTACCTGAGAGTGTCTCTTGAATTTCTCATCTGACAGAGTTTATTAGTGATTGTTGTTGTCTATATGAGATATTGTGTTAATAGTAAACTCTTCGGCTGGAAGAAAGAATGAGATTGATGAATGAAACAAAAGAGTGAAGTCAAATGCTTAGGTAAAAGTTAGGCAACTCAGCAGGCAAATTCAGTAAATATCATTGACAGTTTTAGTTTGAGAGTTAATTCAAATTCAGAAACCACAGGAAAGAGCCCAAGGTTACAGATTCAGCGTCCCATGGATTTTCAGAAGCGTGTTTGTGGGGAACAAGAAAAGGAAAAGGGAAAAAAAGGAAGAAAAGAAGGGAGAAGAAGAGTTAGGTGTTGTTGAATTAATTATAATTAGATTATTGACAAAATTTTCTGAAAGATGAGTTGAGAATATTAATTTAAATTATTACAAATTTAAAAATTTCAATTGTAAATAAGATATTTGCGTTTTAAATATTATTAAAATTGTATTGATCTTGGACCATGAATCCTGAAATTTCATTATACGGTTAAGGGATTGAATTAAAATTATATTTTAGTAGAAAATGACCAATCATTTGGAGCATCACAACTGGTGACGGAAATCAGACCTTCACTGTCGAAGTTCTGGCTACTGGATCAAGCTACCAACACTTAATTATATAATGCAAAAATTTATGTATGTAAAAGCTTAGATTTTAAACTACTTGCTTCTTCCAATGTAGACATGACTTGTTAAAATCTTGACATTAATAAAAAGACCATTTCGGTCATTAAAAACGAAAAAAGGAAGAAGGCGGCCATTTCGATATCCTTACAAGAATAAGGTGGATGCTCTCATACAAATTCGAAAAAAGAAGGCAATTTTCCTAAGCCTTAACTCATTGTCTTGAAAATTTTGGGATTTGTCTCATAAGTTTTTCACTAGATACTAATAGTATTGTTAACTTTTAATTAATTAGGAGTATTCATGAGACGGAATGAGATCGGGACAGTGTCCCATCCCGTGTCCTGTCCCATTAGGAATTGGGATGGGACTGGAATGAGATCAGACGTTCCACCATTTCGATAAATCAGATAATGTCGAAGAAAGATCTGGATAATAATATTTATTAAAATTTTGAATCATATAATTTATTAAGTTTAAAATTAAAATAACACAAGTACATAAATTATAACAATTTAAAAATTATTGAATTACATTAATCACAACTGTATATTATGATAGCAATTACAAGTGATTTTTAGATTATAAGAGCAACAACAATAGGCAAGCTAAATATAATATCAAATCATTATTCTTTTACTTTAGTTGAGATGTGCTAAGTTAATTATTTTTTCAAAAATGAAACAAGAAATACAATATAAATAAAAATTATTAAATGGATAGATATAAAAATAAATTGTATTAATATAATTAATATATTGTAAAGAAAAATATCGCCCTATTTACTTTATATCATTGAAATTATCAATATAAAACACTTTAGTTTTATATAAGAATTGCAAGTATTGAAATAATAATTGATATAATTAATATAAGTATAAATTATATTAATGTAATTGATATATCTAATGTATATTTTTAAAAGAAAAAATAATATATATAATATTTGGGACATAATGGGACGTCTTGATTGTAATTTCGTGTCTCGTCTCGAACCTTTTTCCTGTTTCATCTTGCAAAGTCTCGTCTTAATTGTTTTTGGGTCGGGATGAGACCCGTCCCGATATAATCAAGATGATACTGGGCCAATCGGGACAAATACAAGCTGAATACCCCTATAATTAATGCAATGTTATCCTAGAAGTTTAAAAAAGGATAAGACTTATGTACTTAACTTTATATAGTTATACTTGTATTTAATGAAATCATGATAAGTGGGTCTTAATGTGTAAATAAAATTAATAACAAGAATTTATTATAAAATAAATATTCTATACAAGATTTGCATGTCTCGATTTGATTGAAAATAAACATATTAAATATATAAGATTAAGTATATAAATTTTTTCTTTTGAAAAATAGTGCAATGTTGCTCTAAAGTAATGTTTGAATAGCATTGACCCTTATTTTCAGGGTTAAAGAGTAATTTTGTTTTAAAAGTTTGTCTAAAAGAATAATTAATATTTTAGACTTTCGATGGGTACAATATTCTTAAATGATCAATTTTTAAGTCCAAAAAAAGATTCAAATATTGTTATAACTCAAAGTTAAAAGAAAATTTTGGATTGAATTATAGTAAATGCCTTTAAGTTAGAATTCGAGCCAGTCTATATTGTTCACTAGCAAGTATGAACGAGTCTTTATTTGCTCATGGCTAATTCTACACAAGCCAAAACTTGCTTATGGACACACGCCTAGGCTTGCTGATGATCAAAATAAAGTTAAGTTTAGACTTTGCTTGAGGGAAAGTTCACGGAATGTTTGGGGAAAAGGTGATTTTGCATTTAAGCAACTTTGGGCAAGGAATTTAGTTAAAATCTAAAAATATAAATCATTTTTGAATATTGATAAATTGTTAGATTCTTCTTCTTATTTGAACATTGATGACCCAAACATATGACATTAATTGAAAAGTTTAAAATACTAATTATTTCACTAAAAAAAAAGTTTTGGAGACAAAATTATACTTTAACTTTAGTAAAAAAATTCAATTATCAGTTAACATTGATCAAATATTACTATATAATAAAATTGCATTTTTTTTTTAATTTTCAAAGAATGTGCCAAGCAAAAGTTAAGATACCAGTTGCATTTGGTGGGAAACTTGTAGGGCGAAATTTGCCCTTTAACCCAAATTTATTTACCAAGCATTGCCTTATCTCTTTAAGCATATCATCTAGGATGATCTTCTTCAAAGTAGTAAGTTAAAGTTGAAAATTATCTTATGCAAGTTATTTCTCAAACAAGTCAATCTACCTCATATGATATGTAAAGTGAAGAAAAGTATAAGGAAAAAAAGGCAACACTTTTTTGTGTGTGTCATTACTCGTGTCATTAGTCTTTTTCAAGATTCTTACTTTCATATACAGAGTCAAACCTTAAGAAACAAAATAAAATGAAATGATTGAGAATGAAGGCACCTGCGCAGACTTATTTTGGTTAAGCAGTTATTTAGGTTGTCATTTGCTCTGCAAAATTTAGTCAGATGTTTTTACACAGATTAAAAATGCCACTAATAGCTAATAAATATTTGACAGTTAGCAGAAGAAAAGTTTCCACGTCTCACTGTCCCAATTCGTCTTTACAATATTAAACAAATGAAATATCTTTGTTGATTAAAAGCGTTGCTTCATCTCTCTCTCTCTCTCTCTCTCTGGGGTTCTCTGCCTTCTTTGCTTGCTTACTCTTCTCGAAAATCCATGGCTGCAACATCTACTGATTTCTCAGCAGAGTGTTGTGTCAGATCATTATCTGAATCTGGCCTTACTTCTTTACCTTCCTCTTTCGCCTGCAATAATCTTCATGATCTTCCAGTCCCGTAGTCATCAGAAGACCCATTTCCCATTATTGATTTCTCTCTCCTTGTCTCTGGCAATTCTGAGCAAAGGTGCAAAGCCATCCAAGATCTTGGCCAAGCTTGTGAACAATTGGGCTGCTTCTTGGTAAAAAGTCTACACCAGCTTAGCTTAACTGGTTATGCTTTTGCAGAAACAGAACTTTTCTCTCTTTTGCAATGAATTAATCGACTAGTTCATCCCTGAAAGATGACTCCTACATTAGGTTAGTCAGTCAATTCAATTTTTTGCATCACTGAGAACAGTATTAGAATAAACAGAATATCACAGACAGGCACAGAAGATGTAGAATCTTAGCTAGTAGAATGACAGAAGTTCATTTTATGTAAAAATGACAATTTGACAATGTGTATTCAGGTGAAATAGAAAATGATTGGAGATCAAACTGATGGACAAACTATCTTTTGAGGACTGAGCAATGTAATAACTGTTCTGCTTATGTAGTGAATTTCAGTACTGAAGTGAAGTTCATAATATGTAGTTGATCAACCATGGTATCCCAGAGAGTCTCATAAACAATATGATGGAAGGGGTAAACGGTTTTTTTCAATCTTTCAGATGAGGAAAAGAGAGAGTTTCAGGGAAAGCATATTTTTGACCCCATGAAGTGGCTGGTTCTAGCATCAATAGTGCTAAAAAGGTATAAAGTTTCGCTTTTAATGATGAAAAAGTGTGATATTAATGAATTGTAATCGATATTTTAAGGATAGAAAAATACACAAGAAGGCGTATTTATCAGTAAGTGTGAAAGTCAAAGGTTCTTGTTGGGGTTTTTAAATGTGTCATATTCAAAAAAACAACTGAGATAAAATGTAGAGTGAGATGTACTATTCGAACATTGTCCAGCCTTATCTCATTTAATAGTATTCATATAAACAAATTGAGAAATTAATAACTTGATTATTTTTATAATTTTAATTTAGTTATAAATTAATCCTTAAACTTGTCGTTTTACTCATCAATATCTTAGGCTTGTTTCGTTCATATAACAAGGTGCAGTGCAATATACAGTGTAATGCAATTTCAATTACCATATAATGTATTTTCTATGGCATGACCCATTCTCTTTAAACATATTATCTAAAATTATCTTATTCAAAGTGATAAGTTGTAGGTGAAAATTATCGTATGATAATTGCTCAAAAAATTCAATCTACCACATATCATATGTAAAATGGAGAAAATTATCAGAAAAAAAAAACTATTAAAAAAAGCTTACAAGATCGCTTTATTCGGAGCTGGATTATATGTGTGTCATTTCTCCTTTTTTTAGATGCTTACTTTCATATAGAGAATTAAACCTTAAAACAAAATAAAATGCAATGCGTGTGAATGAAAGACCCCACGTAGACCATTTTGTTTAAGTAGTTGATATTTAAGATTGTCATCTTTTTCATAAAGAATTGAATCATTATTTTTTATCACACTTTCGAAAAACTAAATATATGCATTTATTTATTTTTCACTCATCAAACACTTTAAAATAATTTATACCTTATCATTTTTAATCATTCACCGTCGAGATGTAAATCTCATTTAAAATCCGATATAATCTGATTTGTAATTTTTTTTCGCATGAGTTCTTCGTGGCTTGGGAAAAAAAAAAAAAAGAGTTGTCATCTTCTTGGGAAGTCACCACCAGATTTTTCCCCCACTCATTGTCTGTATTCTTGCTCAAGGAAGTAAACGTGCGCCAAGCTTCAGGTCCGTTCTTGCTCTCCCTTCGTCCCCCTCCTTTCCTCTTTCCGTTCGCCGGTGTGGGTGTGTTTGGGTCGACAATTGTACTCAGCTGCGGAGAGTTCCGTTGAACTTGCGGCTTCTTCCTTCTCTTGCTTGCTTCTCGCCGTCAGTGTTCTCTCTTCCTCTTCATTTGCTGCAGCGGCGCCGAAGATTCCTTTCCCGGTTGATTCGTCCTTGTCTAGTGGTTCAGCACTTGTTCTTCCTTCTTCTCTTAGCTTGATTTGGTGTGGGTATGCTTGAAACCTCTCCTCCTCTCTCTCTCTCTGTTTTTTTTTGTGCTGCTGCCGTCCTTCTGTGAGTGTGAGTGTGTTGTTTGGGTTCTTGAAAAAATTGAATTTTCTCCCTCTTCTTGCTTGATGCGTGAATTAGAAAGTGGATAGAATTTAATTAAGTCAGAAATTTAATTTTAAAGATTACACTTTGTTATGTAATTCCACTTGAGTTATTTTGATTATTACAAGAGGAAGAAGGTGGGTATGGAATCAGTCTTTTCCTATGCCTAAATGGATCTTGATGGGGAGATTGATTTGTACCGTATAATATTAATATCGAAACTGCTGGGGCAAAAGCTTGAAGGTTAAGAGGTTTAAATTGATTGCTTTGGAAATTTATGTATATTAGGTCTTTCTAAAAGGGTCTGAAAGAGAATTATATTCTAATAATTTAATTTGTTGGTTAAAATGATATGAGATATTTGGATGCTTAAATGATGATAAGGATGAACTTTGACTTATTCAAGTTAATTGTAATTGTACTATTATAGTGAGAGGTTTGTTCATCTGATAGAAAATCTATTAAAATTTTATTATATTTGACAGGGTAATTAGAAAAAGAGAAAACTTGATTGCAGAGTTGTAAGGAGAGATTTTGGAATTGGCTAATATATCATGTAAGTACATAAAGTTCTCAAATAAATAAAAATTATGATCTTTTTCTTACTTTATTTATTCATTTGAATTGATCTAAATGTATCTTCTTATTGTATCTTATGATTAAGCTAATTTAAAGCATGCAATCAGCTTATTTTTTATTTGCGTTTAATTACGTAAGTATTGTCATGATATTGTGTTTTTTTAAAAATATTATACGTGCATGGACTGGATAAGTTATAGATAAAAAAGTTATTTATAGTTCACAAATTAAAGAAAAATTTTGAATTGTAAGGATTTTGGACCCCATGTATAACAGAAATGTTTTATAAGATTGAATATAGAACTCTAATTGCTAATAATAGTTTTGTTAGCTTTTGACGTGTCATGATACACCTAGCTAATAGGGTAAATGGGAGGTGTTAGCCCCGTGTGTCAGCCAACACATATGGAATGAAAGATATAGTTTTGTGGATATAATTTATGCTCGTAATTTGTGAGCTTTATACTTGCACCTGCTTTTTGTGACTTCTAGCCATGCCAAATGTCATTTATCCTTATGAACTATGTGTCCATACTTGTTATTTGTTCTGTTTAGGTCTTAACCAAAAACAAGTTTTTCAAGTTATATTTTCATTCTTAAGAATTTTTCTTTTATGATTTTAAAAGATATATTCTTAATTTGATGGTTATGATTCTCCATTGTTTTTCCCCCCTATTTTTGTTACTCAAGTATTGAAGATAAAATTGTGTTGCTATCTTTAAAGTACTATCAATAATTAGGTTGGTCATTTATTTCAAGTGTTACATGTTCATGGTTATCATTTATTATTATTATCATTTGGGACTATTATTTACTAAAATTTTTTTGGTATTCATATAGTAAAGGTAGATCTGCTCTTCAGTAAAGCTCATAGAACTTCTTGAGACAAAAAGCATTTTGTTGCTTTGATTACCTTGTGGATTGATGTCAATGTTTAAGCATTTTGTTTTTGTACTAGAGTCGTTCTATGAATTCCATAGGCGGGATTCTTATTTTAAGTGTTTTGGTTTGAATGAATATTTACACTGTGTCGGAATGGAATCTTTGAATGCTGTCAGAATATTCTTTTGGCAACTTGTAGAGATTTCAGGAAGTCTAACCCATAGGAGAGACTTTGCCCAAATTTCTACAGCAAGTTTGAATATTTTGTTGCTATTAGCATTTGCTTAATATAAATGATGATTTTATGATAAAATTGGGCAATTGATATGTTAAATGTTGTCTGGGTTTAGGCTTATAGAATATGAGTTTTTCTTATATTCCAGCCAGTCATACCTTGATATTTTGGGGTGTGACAGATTTTGATTTAACTAATTTCACCTCATTTTTATTTACATTAAGCAAATGAACTATCTTTGTTGATTATAACGAATTAAAGTTTACTAAGCTAATATCAATGATTTAACTATCTCTTCTTAGTTCCAGTGAGATAGATAGAAGTGTTAGAGGGAATATTTACTACGCCTTGATCCATTGTCTTCTAGCATATAGTGTAGAATTATTCTATTCAAAATGATAAGTCATATAGGTGGATATTATCTCATGATAATTGCTCAAACAATTCAATCCTCCACAGTTTATTATATCTAAAAAATGAGAAAATTATCAGGGAAAAAGTGCTGGACTATGTGTGTCATTTCTCCTTTTCAGGAGATGTTTACTTTCACAGAAAGAGTTAAATCTTAAAACAAAGCAGAATGGAATGATTGAGAATGAAAGGACCCACGTGCACTCATTTAGATGAAGTAGGTTTTTAAGGTTGTCATCTCCTTCAGAAGTCATAACATCAACAGCAAATTTATTAAAAAAAAAAAACAGTAACAGCAACATTTGGTAGTATCCTTGTAAGAGTTTGATTTAAATAATTTCAAAGATTGAAAAATGATGCTAATAGCCAATCCTGCAACATTGACATTTAGCTAAGGTACTGAAAACTGAATTAATCAAGGTATTAGTTTAAGAGTTAATAGTTAAAGCTATAGTTGAACTGTGATTAAACCAATTAAAACACTGGTTTAACAGTTTGATAGTTTATTGGTTCAATTGAGCAGATTGACCCGAGTTTTCATGCCATACATTGGGCAGAAAAACTTTCACATATCTGGCTGCCCCCATTTGTCTTTACATGAAACAAATGGAATATAAGTATCTTTGTTGATTACAAGTGTTGCTCCAAGTAACTATCTCACTCTCTGATGTTCTTTGCCTTCTTTGCTTCTCAGAAATCCATGGCTGCAACAACTACTGATTTCTCAGCACATTTTTCTATCAAATCATTATCTGAATCTGGCATTGCTTCTTTACCTTCCTCTTATGTCTGGAAATATGTCAATGATCGTTCAATCTTGGACTCATCGGATGACCCATTTCCCATTATTGATTTCTCTCTTCTTACCTCCAACAATTCTGAACAAAGGTGCAAAGCCATCCAAGATCTTGGCCAAGCTTGTGAGCAATGGGGCTGCTTCTTGGTAAGAAGTATAATGGGAAAACATAACAAAAGGTCTTTTTACTTTGATTGTGTTTTATTTTTAGTCCATATAGTTTCATTTTGTTGTTTCCAGTCCCTTTAGTTTGATCAATCTGCAACATTACTCCTTATAGTTTTGAAAATGCACATAAAAAACATGAGTTGTCACTGATAGAGCTAGTTTTCTGTAGCTCTACTAACCTTTTTACTGACATTATGGTAAAAATATTCTAATTATATGAAAAACAAATTGATTAGGTATGATTAAAATAAAAGATAAATGAAAAAACATTCTTTTATATTTGGCTTAAATAGAATATGGGAGACGAATGTGAGAATAAGTACACGTTAGCAAATGGGTTAACAGAGTTAAATATATGTCAACAAAAGTAAATCTTTCAATGTCAACTCATGGTCTTCATGTGCATTTTTAAAATTATAGAAACTAACGTTGTTGACGAATCGAATTAAAGGGATTGGAAACAACAAAATAAAATTATAGAGATTAAAAGCAAAATACAATCAAAGTACAAGAACCTATTGTTGTATTTTCCCAAATATAATCTAAACTATTTCATTTCTCTCTTCTGTTTATGTAATGAACTTGAGTACCGAAGAATGAAGTTCATGATTTTTGTAGTTGATCAACCATGGTTTCCCGGAGAGTCTGATAAACAGAATGATGGATGGAGTAAAAGGGTTTTTCAATCTATCAGATGAGGAAAAGAAAGAGTTTCAGGGAAAGAATATTTCTGACCCCATAAAGTGTGGATCTTCCATGAATGGTGTTACAGAGGTAAGAAGCTGGAGAGATTTTTTGAAAGTCTTTGTCCATCCAGAGTTCCACTTTCCTCATAAACCTGCAGGATTTAGGTATGCATTATGATGCTTCTCTCAAAATCAATTTGGGTTTTTTCAATACATTCTAATAATTCATGACTTAAGTTCTTGATTGTACAGTGACACTGCATTTGAGTACGTCAAGTTAATGAGAGAACTCACAAGGGAACTGCTGAATGGTATATCAAAAAGTCTGGGATTGGAACCAAACTACATATGTAAGGCAATGAAAATGGAGCCAAGCTTTTAAGTGTTTGTTGCAAATCGGTACCCTCCATGGCCAGAGCCAGAACATGCCTTGGGACTTCTTCCTCATACTGATCATGGCTTGCTCACTATAATGGCAGAAAATATCAGTGGTGGCCTTTAGACTCTGCATAATGGCAAGTGGGTCAAAATGAATGTTCCTCCCAAAGCTCTCTTGGTTAACACTGGCGATGTTCTAGAGGTTCTAATTTTCCCCTTTCATCACCATCATCATGCAATATATACATAAAAAAGTCCCAAATAAAGAAAGTAGGGAGAATGACACTTAAGTACCAAAAGAGGGAATTGATTACAATTAATTCCTAAATAAGGGAATTAATGACCAATGGAAACGAATCATTTCTTTAGTCCTAACACAAACATGTTAGGGAAAATCACTTTAAGGTCCCACAAGATTACTTTGAAGTCCCATGTTTTTCACCTAAATGGTCAATTTCCTACATTGAGGTTATCAATTGTTACTGGATAGTGGTTGTTAATTGAAAAGTTACTGAAAATTTTCAATTAACTAAGTAACAATAGTTAGCAACTATTCAACGGTAATTGACAACTTCGATAAAAGATACAGGATTTCAGAGTAATTCTGTGATTTCATGAGATTTTCTATATTTAGATTCCTTTCGTGAGATTTTAGAGTAATTTTCCCCATACTAAATGTTGCTTGAAGCTTAAGACTCCTAATAGTTGATCCATATATGTGTGACCTGAACTTTCTTTTCGGCATGTTTCGTGAAGATGGTGACAAATGGGAGGTACAAGAGCAATATGCATAGAGCAGTGTTGTTTTCCAATGCAACGAGGATATCAATGGTGACTTTAGATGCTCCATCACTGGACCAAGTGATCAGCCCAGCATCAGAGCTTGTGGATGACACTCATCCACCAGCCTTCATTTCATTAACCACCAGCAAATTCTATGAACTCCAACAATCAACCTTGTTTGACAAGGAAACTATCTTGGACCGTTTTCGCATTCCATATGCTTAATTGCATCATTAATTCTGCAAAACCAATAAAAAAACATCACTTTGGGTCTCTATATTTTGTTATAGGTCTTTGCACTTTTTTTCTTGTATTCTAGGTCCCTATACTTTTATTTTTCGGTGTTCTAAATCCCTTCAAAGTCCCTACACTTTATTCATATAGAAATTTAGAACACTAAAAAATAAAAATGTAGCAACCTAAAATACCAGGAAAAAGTGCAAGGATTTATAATAAAACGCAAACATAGTGCGGGGATCCAAAATTATATTTTTCCTTAATCTTTAGTTAGGGTGTCCTTGTAGAGTGTGTGTATGTGTGTTTTTCTGAATTTGTGAGGCTTTACTGCATTGATTGAAATACCATAAGGCATTACAGGCGATGCCAGTGGTCAAAATTATTATTATGGGATCCCTGTATGAGTTCAAGCCTTGTGTGGGATTTGGAAATTGTAGTTATGTATTATATTTGAATCATTTTAGTTGTTTGAGTTTATGTTGTTAGTGTTTGATTGTTAAATAATATATACTGTGTTGGTTTGTTATAATTCATGGGGTTCGGTTATCCTAGTTTGGTTCTGAAAATTGTATTCTTTTTATTTATATTATCTCAGACTTTATGCTTAACCTTAATGTCATGGACGGGGGTTCGGGGCGGAAAATTTAGAGCCCTTATGTTTAAGTTTTAAATTTTTTAAAATGAAAAGTTGCTTATTTCTTTCTTTAAAAATATTTTGTGAAATTTTATTATGCTTATTTAATATTTTAAAAATATTAAAATATGAAAAAAATATTTCTAATTATTTTAACAAGTAATTTAAATAGCTTCTCACAATGAAATAAAAAGGAAAGAATGCCATTAAAAATTAGTGAATATAGAGAGATAACATATAAAGTTTAAAATAATAAATATTTTTTATGAATATAAATCCATGAACATATCATCAAATTTGAAACTTACTAAGTAATGATAACTTTTTATTATTGTAATCAAATATAAAATAATTTTGTATTTTAATAAATCATTACAAGCTAAATCAATTTTTTTATAAAATTTCTAAAAATAACCTATTTCTTGTGAAATATATATTTAAGATCAATGTTAAAATTATTTTACAAGTAAAACTTATTAAAATTAAATAATAAACAAACAATACACGTAACATAAAGATCATAAATTTAAAAAAAAAAAAAAGAAAGCAACCTATTCAGCCCCAAATCAACACAGGTGTGCTTGATCTGTCTCGTAAAATCCAAAGCAACACAAATCAACAGCTTATCGCCAATACAAATTTGATTTCCAACTTGACAGACTAAAACACACCACAAAAAGCCAATTTAGCAGTAGGGACAGATTTGCAGAAAACTGTCCCCGTAAGCTCCATGCAAAAAATCTGACTGTCCCAATTTGTTTTCACATGAAACAATTAAATGAAACATCTTTGTTAATTGAGGCTGTGTTCCAATTCCTTCACTGATCACACTCTGCATTTCTTGCATCTCACATGACTCTTAGTCCAAAATCCATGGCTGCAACATTTACTATTGCTACTGATTTCACAGAACACTCTTCAATCCATTCAAGCAAAGTGACCACGATCAAATCATTGTCTGAATCTGGACTTACTTCTCTGCCACCCTCTTTTGCATGCAAAAATCTTCATAAAATTCCAGTTCTGGATTCATCATCAGAATATAATACACTTCCTGTTGTTGATTTCTCTCTCCTTGTTTCTGGCAATTCTGAACAAAGAGACAAAGCCATCCAAGACCTTGGCCAAGCTTGTGAAGAATGGGGCTTCTTCTTTGTAAGAAATCTATGCGAGAATTGTTCTCTCTTTTGCATTGAATTAATTATAACTAGTTCATCCCTGACAGATGACTTGTGCATTATGTTAGTCCTTCAATTCTTTTTTGTTTTTTTGCATCACTTGAATACACAAGTTATAGTTTCTTTTCCACCACTATATTAATTTAGATTTAATATCAGGATAATCTGAAGATCACAAACTGGTGCATGAAATGTCAAATATTTAGCTAACAGAATGAAAAAAGAAGTTCATTTTAGGGATAACCAAACTTTAGTTCCTCAAGTTTAATTTTGTCTAAATTATTGATTTGGTCCTTATTGTTTAAAGAAAAGGTAATCATGTTAAAGTTTGTTGACATGGATAGTGAATTATTGATGACAGCCGCAAAGATTAATGAAAATTAGTGTAATTATTTGGATGTGAAAAAAGTAGAATAAAAATTTTTTGTAAAAAAAAAAAGACGAAAGAACAAACACAGTGTAAGGGATAAAATTAATAAAAATTAAAATGAATATGAGGGCTAACTTGTTCTCCGTTAACTATATGTATATGTATATGTCAAGTCATTAACATACTTTACACAATAGATTAACTTGAGAGTTAATATTTAACTGAAATAAAATTAAGAAAATAAAAGTTTAGTTTTTTTTTTTTCGGGGTGAAAAGGCAAGCCGAAACTTGTGATAGAGTTAGTAACAAAAACTTAGAGAGTGGAGCAAAGGTTCTTCTCTCAGAGAAAATTCCTTGACAGCACCAACGAACTTCTGTCAAAAATCTAAACAAAAGAAAGTTTAGTTATCCTTTCATTTTATGTTAAAATTGAAGATTTGTGTATTCAGCTGATACTAGAAATGATTCGAGATCAAACTGATGCACAAGCCATATTTTGAAGATTGAACTATTTAATTCACTCTTCTGTATCTCTAGTGAATTGAGTACTGAAGTTCATCATTTGCAGTTGATCAACCATGGTATACCAGAGAATCTGATTAACAGCATGATGGAAGGAGTAAAAGGATTTTTCAATCTTTCAGAAGAGGAAAAGAAAGAGTTTCAGGGAAAACATATTTTTGACCCCATAAGGTATGGCTCTAGCATCAATACTGCTGTAGAAAAGATACACTGCTGGAGAGATTTTCTCAAAGTCTTCGTCCATCCAGAGTTCCATTTTCCTCATAAGCCTTCCGGATTTAGGTATGCAAGAACTCAGTAGGCTCAATTTTTTAATCACAACATATCCAAATATGATTTTAGAACTTGTTAAGTCATAGCTTTTATTACCTTGCTTTTGTTATAATCTTAGTTAGAAAAAGATTAAATGATGATTTTGCCTTTTAAACTATGTTCAGGAGTGTTTGGGACCCTAAACTTTATTTAATACAATATTTCCCTTCAATAGTTGAAAACGATACAATATTATCCCTACCATTAATAAATGCTAATTTTGACAATTAGATGGTTAGAAATTTAAAGAGAGGTATCTCAAAAATTGCAAAAAAGGATCTAGAAAATTACAAATAACTATTATATAAAAATTAATATTGATTAAGTTTTCTAAATTACAAATAAATACCAAGAGATAAATTTTATTTCTTTCTCATGTAAAAGACCAAAATACCATTTGAGCCATCTACTTTTACCAACTACCGAGTGATTATTGTATCACCATTGCTGGCAACAACACCTACAAGTAACTAAAAAATATTATATTTGTTTTAATATTATTTATAAATATTCTTGATTCTTTTCTTCATCTCGCATCCCATTATTCTGACACGAGTTCTTGATGCTACAGTGACACTGCATTTGAATACTTGAAGATGATAAGAGAAATCATAAGGGAACTACTGAGGGGTTTATCAGAAAATTTGGGATTGGAACCAAACTACATAAATAAGGCTACGACGATAGAGTCAAGCTTTCAAGTCTTCGTTGCAAATCTGTACCCTCCATGTCCGGAGCCAGAACTTGCTGTGGGACTCCATCCTCACTCTGACCATGGCTTGCTCACAGTACTCACAGAAAGTATCAGTGGTGGCCTTCAGACTCTGCATAATGGAAAGTGGGTGAAAGTGAATGCTCCTCCGAATGCTTTAATGGTTAACACTGCTGATCAACTAGAGGTGCTCAATCTTTTACTGTCATCATCTTCATCATGACTCAAACATATAATATGCCAACCACAAACACGTTGGATGTTTCTTGAAGTTTAAGATTCTTAAAAGCTACTATGTTCTTAAAATTAGTTTTGACCAAAATCAATAATTAATTGTGATATGATTCTTGACTAAATCCAAGATGTCGAATTTGATTAAGATATTGCAATTAGTATAATATATCAGTTGCAATCATCCTCTCATTAAGGGATATGACCTGTGTTGATATGATTTCCTAAAATTCGCCACCTATCTACACTATAAATAGGACTTGGATAACTTAACAAGTGTCTCACATGATTTTGTCATATAATACTCAAAAAGTACCAGATTTCAAATTTTGGAAGGGACAACATATGATAGGAGTGTTTTGATCGTGAGGAGTGTTTTGAATTTTTGAGGAAAATATATCTTGATAATTTTCAATTATTGATGATATCCAATAGCTATAATTGAGACACTAATGATCTTAGGCTACTCATTAAATCCAAATCCTTATAAATAGGAGTGGTTGTCTCAGAAAATTGCACCTTAGAGTAGAATACTCTTCTGTCAGTCTTTATCTCTTCTTGTAAGGTAAGGTGCTTCATACCCGGATCTGGTATGTGTTCATCCGAATTCTTTTTTTTGTGATTAATTTCCTTTGGCTACTAACTCATATGTTTTCACTTTAAGTTCCTTTGGTATGTTTTGTTTAGATTATGAGTAATGGGAAGTACAAGAGCAATGTGCATAGAGCAGTAGTGCACTCCAATGCTACAAGGATTTCAATGGTGACTGCAAATGGTCCATCACTAGACCAACTTATCAGCCCAGCAACAGAGTTTGTCAGTGATACTCACCCACCAGCCTACACTTCAGTAACATACAAGAAATACTATGAACTGAGCCAATCCAACTCGTTTGATAATGGACTCTTCCTGGATCGTATGCGCATCTGAACTTAGACCACTTTCTGTGGAAACCAAGAGTTAGTGGTGAGTCATCTCTGTATTAAATATGTGTGCTTCCCTTCTTTCCAGGACTTCAAAATTTTTAAGGCTTTTGTGTGTACTGTGTAGGAGTTGAATAATGATGAGATGAGGTTGACATCAAAGTTCAAACTGTCTATTTTACCTATCATCTCACACGTCCGTCTTCTAACTTATTTAACTATAATCAAGAAAAACCTTACAATTTATTAACTCTATTTAAAAATTTAATAAATTTTTAACTTTATTTCTATTAAATATATACATATTTTAATAACATATTCCCTTCATCTCAATTTATAAGAAACTTTGAAGATGATTTGGTATTCCCAAATATAAGATAATTTAATAAAAATAAAATTTCATTAACTATATTTTTTTAATATTGCCTTTCCCTCCTCATTATATTTTTTTCTTTTGTAAGGTTATTAAATGAATGGTGTTTTAAAAAAAATTTATTTTTGTTTTGAAAAAGAAGATAGTAAATTGTATTTAATAGACTTTATTGATATGCATAAATTTGTCTAAAATTATCTTATAAATTAAAACAAAGAGAGTACTTTTTCTCACCAACATTTAATGGAAAGTAAATAGAGAAAATTATAATAAAAAAATTAATGATGTGACTCTTATAAATAAAACAAAAAAATTCTTTTTATCTTATAAATAAAATTTAAGGGAGTACATCTTTGTAATTTGCATTAAGATCAATTTATTGGTTTGAATTTATCTTCACCATCTTGTGATTGCCTTGGTCTGTGAGAATTCATCGATTCAGTTATAGTAGTTTGGCAGAGGAAATTGTACTATCTTTGTGAATGTTATTTATATGACACGCTTAACCTCAATGTCATCGTGAGTGTTAATTCTTCCGTCTCAAATTATAAAATATTTTAAAAAATTTAATATTTTATTAGATAGATTTATTTCAATACTACATTTTCTCTCTCTTTCTATTTAATACTAATTAAGTCTAGATTTAAGGTTATTAAATGAAGGATATTCTAGGAAGTTTATATTTTTATTTTTAAAAAATAAAATTGTTAAGTGTATTTAATGAAGTTTATTAGTACGTAAGATTTTTTCTAAAAATATCTTATAATTTAAGATGAAGAAAGTCTTATTATTATTATTTTATTTTTTGGTGAACATCGTAAGTGTCATTTATAAGACATTCACATTGGCACAGACTAGAACGTAACTCTGAGATGAATATTATGGTAAAGTATAAAATTTTAAGTATTAACAAGAATATTCAGCATTGATTTGGCTTCATAATTATTAATGTTTTAACATTTGTTATACTGTGATGTGAATTTTGATTCCCTTAATTATTTTATTATTTATCTAGAGCATCTTCAAAAAGAAAACCTTTGTGGTTAGGGGGGTGGGGGAAAAGAAAACCTTTGTGTACACATTTCTAATCAGTTGACTGGATTGTTTTACCGATAGTTCAAATTTAAAACTTTTATTTTTTATTTTATATTTAAAAAAATTATAATTTATAATAAATTTACTTAATCACTAACTTAGGTTGATTATATTAGTGATTTGAAAAATCAAACTGAATTAGCTGATCTGATTGGTTGAACCATCAGTCGGTCACTATAGAGGCTTAATTTTAACCATCAAACCGTTTTAAGGATTAGGTCGGATTGAATCTTTCAGGCTGGATGATTGGATTAAAAATCGCTTGAACTGTGAATTAAGAGCAGTTTTTAAAGAACCAGTAGGTCAAATTTTTTTCATTGTTTTCCAAGTTTTAACCCAAAAAATAAAAGCCTCGCTCAATTCTTATCCTTTATGGTTGTACTCCGCAGTGCTTGTGATGTTAACCCTCTTCCATGGCTAACCTCCAAGAAAAAGATAGAAGAAAAAAGGAGAGGGAAAGAGCTGCGTTTTGCTTCTCAGAACTCAAACAAGTGATCTGGAAATAAGTGATATAAGGACAAAAAGCTTGCATTCTTGAGACATGTCTGTTACTTTTTTTATTTTTATTTGTCGTTGAATGAGGAGCCGTACAAGGAAGATGTTTGGAGGGAATAGATATAGGTTAACTAATAACTTCAAGTACTTTTGTCATCATTTTTTTTTCACTTTTATTTTTTTGACCAATTTTGTTATCAGTGTTTTGAAAAATAACACCTTTACTTGTTTCCATACCTTAATATTTTTTTTTTTATATTTTCCGTAAATAAATTATTTTTACAAATATCAATTTATTTGGAATGCTAAATTTTTTTATAATTATTATCTCATTTGTTACCATACATATATTATATTTATAATATTAAATTGTTTAAGTTTTAATTTAATTTTATTATTGTAAACCACCTAAAAATATATCTTGGTATATTATTTTTATTTATAATAAGTAATATTTAACTAAAATATATTTTTTAATATACTCGGTTCAACCATGAACAGGCACTTTAATCGATTCAATGACCGATCTGATTTTTAAAATATTAGTTTATATTTAATTGGAATAGTAAAATTTAATATTAATTTTTTTATAAATTTACGGGTTCAGATTTATTTTAAACAGTTTATATTTACCAAAATAAAAAATAGTAAAATAAATTAATATTAAATATTTATTATTGAAAGTGCATTTAGATAATCAATATAAAAAAATTACAAGAGGGTAAGACTTATATGTTTAGCATTATATACTTAATATACTTATATGTATTCAAATCATGACAAATAGATCTTAATGTATTAATATAATTAATAACAAGAATTTATTTTAGAATAAATAATCTATACAAGATCCGTATGCCTCGATTTAATTGAAAATAAATACATTAAGTATATAAGTTTTTCACATTATAAAAACTTTCAACATTAAATTGAACCATCCAAAGTAAATCTATACCATTCAAATTGGTAATAAACTGATTTATTAAATTTTTTTTATAATTCTTGTAACGTTATTTTGATAAAAATTTATCCAGATAATTTTAAATTAAATATAGACGATAATCAAACAAATCTATTAATAAAATTTCATAATCCATTAAATGTAAAATAAAAAGTAAAAGTTTTAAATATTGACCATTTAAATTAATTTGAACGGTCCAAATTCTTTTGTCGTTCAGCGAAGAGTTTATCCGCCCTGCCAGTCCCGTTGTTCTGCTTTTAATACAATGAACAACAGTAGATATATATAGATGACCATTTGGCAGGACATGATCCACTCGTACTTTATTTGCAATGAATCTTACTTAGCCTATTTGTCTTTACATTGAAAAAGAAGCATTGTCATCATTGATTACTTATCCAATTCTCTCAGCACTATTTGGCTCTCTACCTTTCCTATTTTTGCCTCTCTTGTTAGCATATACTCGTTCCAAAAATCCATGGCTGCAACAGTTACTATTGCTAGTGATGATTTCTTGGAACAGCCTTCTATTCATTCAACCGAAGTAACCACCATCAAATCATTGTCTGAATCTGGCCTTACTTCTATACCTCCTTCTTTTGCCTCCAAAAATCTTCATTATCTTCCAGTTCTGGACTCATCACAAGGCTTAATTCCCATCATTGACTTTTCTCTCCTAGCCTCCAACAATTCCAAACTCAGGTGCAAGGCCATTCAAGATCTTGGCCATGCTTGTGAAGAATGGGGCTGCTTCTTGGTAAAAAAAAAAAAAAAAATTCCACACCACTCAGCTTAGCTTTTGAAGAAGCAGACTTTTTCTGCTCTTCTGTAGATAATTAACATGTTAATTCCAGAAAGATGACTTGTACATTAAGTTAGCCCTTAGATTAAACTGATGTGCAGGTTATCTTTCAAGCATTGAACTGGTTCTGTTAATTTATTTTTCTGTTTATGCAGAGAATTTGTGTACTAAAGTTTGTGATTTGTAGTTGATCAATCATGGTATCCCAGAGAGCATGATGAACAGCATGATGGAAGGGGTTCAAGGATTTTTTGATCTTTCGGATGAAGAAAAGAAAGAGTTTCAAGGGAAACATATCTTTGATCCCATGAGGTATGGCTCTAGTTTCAATACTGCCGTAGAAAAAGTATACTGCTGGAGGGATTTTCTCAAAGTCTTTGTGCATCCAGACTTCCATTTCCCTCATAAACCTTCTGGATTAAGGTATGCATGATGTCACTCACAAAATTTAACTTTTAACTACATGTGTATGTACCTTTTTATGCATAGAATTCTGAACAGCGTGACTTCATATAAACTTTATGTACTAGAAGCTAAATTATATATAACCCTCCTAAATTTTATATCATGTATAGATAACTTCCTTAATCTTTGAAATTATAATAAACCCTCCTGAACTCTTTCTCTTGTATAAATAACTCTCCTATTCATTATTTATCTACACAACTTATAATTTAGGTGGGTTATCTGCAAGTCATAGTTTGAGGGGATTATATGTGCACAAAAATCTTTAATTTATCTACAGAGTTAAAAGTTCAAGAGGGGTTTATAATTAAGTTTTAGAGGTTAAAAGAATTATTTGTATATGGTTCAAATTCAAGGGAGTTTTACGTAGCGTAGTTCATAATATATTGATATATTGATCAAGAGTAGCTATTTGTATATGACTTTCGGACTTTTAAATCATAATTTTTATTGTCAGGCTTAAGTTAGGTTATCTTGACCTTCCATTCTTAATCCGCCGTTCTGTTCTCTGACTTCAGCTCTTGATCCTACAGTGATACTGCGTGTGAGTATTTCAAAAGAATCAGAGAAATCATAAGGGAACTGTTGAAAGGTGTATCAGAAAGTTTGGGATTAGAACCAAACTACATAAATAAGGCTATGAATATGGAGTCAAGCTTTCAAGTCTTCATTGCAAATCTGTACCCTCCATGTCCAGAGCCAGAACTTGCTGTGGGGATCCATCCTCACTCTGATCATGGCTTGCTCACTATGCTCTCAGAAAATGGCATCAATGGCCTCCAGACTCTGCATAATGGCAATTGGGTCAAACTCAATCCTCTTCCCAATGCTCTAATGGTTAACACTGCTGATCTTCTGGAGGTAACTTTCTGCTACTATCATAACCATCAACATATATATATATATATATATAGCTCCATCATTCTCAGCATATAGAATTAGACATATCAGCAAACATGTAACATGCCAAAGACAAGCATAATGAAAGTTCCTTGAAACCTGAGATGCTTGATAGCTCATCCATATTTGACGATTGAACGTGTTTTGATATTGTTTTTAGATTGTGACTAATGGGAAGTACAAGAGCAATGTGCATAGAGCTGTACTGTACAGCAATGCTACAAGGATATCAATAGTGACTGCAAATGGCCCATCATTTGACCAACTTATCAGTCCAGCACCAGAGCTTGTCAATGAAAGCAACCCACCAGCCTATAAATCATTAACATATAGGCAATTCTATGAACTTCATCAATCAAACTCACTTGATAAGAAAAGTGCATTGGACCGCATACGCCTTCTAACGTAGACCACTCTGCAGAACCAAGTATCATCCATGGTCATACATGATATATGTATGGATGGATGAATGAGATTATGTATGCATGTGTATGGATGTATGTATGAGTGTTTCTTATCTATCTAGTGCTTGGAAATCAGTAAAACTTTTCTGCTTATGAATTGATAGCCCACATGGAATGACTAGTCTCCGCCACTGGTTTTAAGTTTTCCATTTCAAGTGTACCTTTTTAGTTGAAATCCAGCTTGACTCTGTTCCATAAGAGAGATGCTTATGCCAGAATCATTGCAATGTCAATGAGGTGGGCCACGATCCAAGTTGAAATCCGGTTTGATAAATATCCAACCCCATATGCCAATCGGAGTTGGCTTGCTTCCACTGTATAAGTAGAGTTTCCGCTATATAGTGGAGGGAACTCTGAAAATCTAGATTGTTAGATTTGATTTGATAATTTATTTTTAAAAATTTAATCTGAATGGTTCGTATCTACAGTGAAGCTGCAGTAGAGGGAAATCAGGTCCATGCCAATTTGATATTTACTCTATGGATCCTTAATGCATTACATGAAGTTTGAAAATTGAATTACTATGCTATATATAGTTTGTAAATAATGTATCAATGAGGGTTGGATTTAATCAAAGGTGTTGGTTTTTTATAACATAGTAAATTAAGATTCGAATCTTTGTTAGATTAGGTACATTTAATGTCTAATAGTATCTGAAACAAAAATTTCTCTAATAAAATGATACTTATGAGGGACCAATTAAAAACTTGTAAATAGTATGACTTGCAATTAAAAAAAAAAAACTAGATACAAGCCGAGGACATCATGTAGAGTTTAAATTAAGTTATATTATTTATAATTTATGAAAAGTGTAGCTTCATATAAATCATATATGTTGATTATATTTATATTCCTCATAGTAACCAAAAAAAAAAAAACAAAGAGGGTGTTATTTACTTTCTCTTTTAAAAAATATAAAGTATTTTTAATTGAATTTCATCCTCAATAAAGTAGTTACTTACTTTCAAACTAACTTTATCTTTTATATTCATCCCCATTAAATACCTTATAATAAATATAAATTATTCATCAATAAAGATAATTTTAAAAAAATAATAATTATATTTAAAAAATTAAAAATACTTATATTTTTTAATATTTAATTTTTTAAAAAATATTTTATATTTTTAAACAGGATAAAAAATGTCTGAGAGAAAAATAAGTGAGCAAGAAACAAATTTTCCAATAAACAAGCCATAGTTTTACATCACATTAGTTTGATGGTGATGTGACTGATTAGGCATCAGTAACTATTCTTAGTGTGATTTGAATTCTTTGATGTGCCTTGCTCCCCACGCTTCACCACCGAAATCATCGCAAGGCAATATCGTCATTATGGAACTAGACTCCAAAAAACTAACTATTTGGTCCTTATGTTTGTGTTAATTTTCAAAGCAGCCCTTACACTTTTTTTTTTTTACTTTTTATATGAATATTTATAGATTAGTTCTAGACTTAATCTCCATGGTATCCAACTGTGTCATAATCCGCACCTTCAACCCATCCTCAAGGCCAACAGTGAGAAGAAAAGGTTTAGATATGTCAAAAGAGATGAATATCATCTCCATTACAATTTACAAGCCAAACTCATTAAACAGAGGGGAAATTAATAAACTTGTACTTACAATTTCAATGAGTTGTCAATTCAGTCCTCCTAGTTTATGAAATTTTAGGCTCAATTTCTAATTTGTCCAACTAGGATCGAGCATGGAACACATCAGCGCCATGTGGGATATAAAAGCCTCTTCATGGTTGCCATGTTACCCACATACCTAACCCGTATTTGAATCCAAACCCGACTCTATAACTCTTGGAGTTAAATGAAGGTTGGTGCATAAAAGTTGAGTAATATGTTCGTAAAATATGGATCACTGTCAAAGATTCCTTGACATCCTATGAAAACTTTATCTTGCTTTGAAAGTATTTGCTCGGATGCAGATTCACAAGCGCAAGAACAAGAATAAAAAAATATATTTATGAACAATGTCTTTATATAGAAAAGGGCATAGAGGGAGTTACAAAAAAATTAATGTCACGTATAAGGACTAATTAAATAATATTTCCATTAAAATAATATTAAAATACAAGTCAATGAAGGCACTATTTTCCCACCAATTTTCTTTTGTGTGGGACATTTCTTTCCAAGCTGTTCTATGTCGAGCCTAGTATGTAGACTTGAGTGCTTGACCCGCAAGAGTCACGCCATCAGGGCCATGATAGTTTTTCTCCCATCAATGTTTAAAATGGTTTCAAAAAATAATAATAATAATGATAATAATAATATAATAATAATAATTGAGTTTTAATTTTTTTTTTATTTGATTGTGCTCATATGTCCTTTTGTATTGTTGACAATTTGTTTAAAATATGATCAGATATATATATATATATATATTTTCTTACTAAAGATTCGAACCTGTTTTACATTAATTATATTGACATTAATTTACGTCTTACTTGGGTCATAATGGCATACTATATAAATTCTACATTTAATATCTGAATTTTTATCAATAATATAATCTATTTAAATAAAAAAGTAATTATTTATGCTCAATTTTTTTAAAAATTGCAATATTTTATAAGATTTTTTTTAATCATTGTATTAAAACTCAACTCTAGTGAACTAATAAACTAATCTCCCATCTAGTCCGGTCTAGAATTTTAAATTAGTCACTAGATTGAATTTTGTATATTGTTTTCTCACTTTACTAATAAACCTGTCATTTTGAATTAAAAAAAAAAAAACCATAGTTGCGTTGACTCCCTTTCAATCACAGTTTGAATTATTAACCCTTAAACTACTGTTTCAATCAATTCAATCACATGTCCGGATTTTAGTACCTTAATTTTTATAAGGAAAATTATAGAATCATTACATTACTAGCTAACATTTTTGGGCTAGGGACTTTTAACGTGCCATTCTTTAATATCTTTTATAATGTCCTAACTTATCAATTTTATTTTTCATTTTCCTTTGAATCATTAATTTCTACATAAAATAAGAGACATTTGAATATCTTGATGTCTCAAAATGATGAAAATTTATATTTTTTATGATTTTTCAAAAATAAAAGGATGTATTTGTGATATTTTAAAAAAAATCATAAAAAATAAATCTTCATCATTTTAGGACATTAAGATATTTAAATGTCTCTTATTTTATGTAGAAGTTAATGATCCAAAAAAATAAAAAATAAATTGATAAGTTAGGATATTACATAGATATTAAAGAAGCATATTAAGATCTTTAGCCCAACATTTTTTCACCACGTGGATAAAAAAAAATAAAGAAAGAATGAAACCCACAGTTATTGGAGAACCCACACAACACGTAGAGCCCGCAGACTTGACTTAAAGGCACAAATAATTAGGTCGAGAAGCACGACAATAAATCAAGCACCTTGGTATACTCCAACTTGACTATAAGCCTTTGCTTTGCTTCCACCGTTCATATTTGAGGCATTATAAAGTATAATTTCCTCTATATATACCTCACACTCGCAAGTTCAATCACTGTAGTATGCTAAACATGGAAAAACTTAGTTTCTTTGTTTTGCTAATCTCACTTCATTATTTCTTCCTTGCCTCTTTAGCTTGGAGCAGCAAGACAAGCATCTTCACTGACAAATCTGCTCTTCTTGCTTTCAAATCTCAAATCACTTTGGATCCATACGACCTCTTAGCTAATTGGTCTAACTCATCTTCTTCTCCATGCAATTGGGCAGGTGTCACTTGCAATATCCGACATGGAAGGGTTCGTTCTTTGAATCTTGGTCAGATGGGTCTCACAGGTATGATATCTCCAAGACTAGGAAATCTCTCGTTTCTTGTTGATCTTGATTTGGGTGACAACCATTTTATGGTCAAATCCCAAAAGAATTGGTTCAGCTGCATAGATTGGAGTTGCTCAACTTGAGTTACAATAATTTGATGGAGAAGTTCCAACATGGATAGGGGGATTATCGAGACTCGAACTCTTGAATTTTTGCAATAATAGTTTCAATGGCTTCATTCCAATATCTATATCCAACTTGTCAAGGTTGGTGATTTTGAATTGGAATGATAATTTAATTGAAGGGAATATTCCACTTGAAGTTGGAAGGCTTGAGCAATTGATAATGTTACGATTCGCGGATAATAAGCTTTCAGGAAGCATTCCCCAAACAATTTCTAACTTATCCTCGCTTGAATTATTGAGTTTATCCTATAACACTTTATCAGGTATATATCTTCCTCTTGAAAATAAATTTTAACTCTAGTTTATTCTATCAAAATTTGGTGGTGTAGTTTTCAAAATGAGCACGCCTTTTGACCCCTACTTATCAACTATAGACATGTAAAATTAAGTCAAATGTTTTGCTCAAAAGTTATTACTGACACGTTGATTATTTTTCTAATATTTTAAGGAGGCATTCCAAATGAGATCAGTAATCTTCCACAACTGCGGATATTGTCTCTAGGATCAAATTTTCTTTCTGGCTCTATACCCTCTTCATTATTTAATAGTTCAACGTTGCAACTCTTTGAGCTCCCTCGGAATCAATTATCTGGTAATCTCCCAGAAAACGTGTGTTCTGGGTTGCCAAAACTTGAATATCTTTATTTACATATAAATATTGTCTGGCAAAATGCCATCCATGTGGCATCAATGCAAAGAGTTGATAGACTTAGAGTTAAGTGACAACAAATTCTACAAAGGAAGCATACCAAGTGACATGGAAAATTTGACCAACCTTCAATCTTTATATCTTGCCAGAAACAACTTAGAAGGTACGGGTTTTAATGCTGTCCATGACACATGTAGATTGTTTATCTTAATTAGTTTGCTGCATTAATTTAGTATAGTCTCTTATTTAATTACCCAATGTGCATTTGCATGTACAAATGTATGCTTGTTCTCTTTGTCTTATTTACTGAACATATTGTCTCTATCTTATTTATAAGGCTAAAAGAAGAATTTTTTTGTTATATTTATAAGTTGTGTTATTAAATTTTTATTACAAATTTTTCTTTTATTCCTCATTAAATATTTGTAAGAGAAATGTATTATTAAAATATTTACTCCCTCCAGTTCCTATTATAGGATACCTCCTAGATTTGATCTTTAAACATAAGGCACTTGATAGGATATTAATTATATTTTTTTAATATTACATCTTTTTAAGCTCATTAACTACAAGAGAAAAATATAATAT